TTTCAAACCCATCTCAAAGCCTTCAAATCCACGGCTCAATCTTTTAAGCCTCGCGAACCTCATCAAGATAAAGTAGATCTTGTTTTGCGCCTTGTGGACATTGAACATCAAGTACAACAACCGCCGACGGCATAAAATCCTCATTTAGAAAATCCATAGATGCTAGAACAATAGGCTCATCAGAAACATGAGAAGATAGTGGAGAAGGAAGAGGAGCTCGAGAAAGGGCATTAGCATCAGCCATAGAACTCCCTGGGTGATGAACAATATCAAAATCATATATCTGAAGCTTCAAAGCCCATTGAGTAGTACAACCAACTAGGTTCTTTCACTTCAATAATGAAGTAACGGCAACATGGTCACCTTCAAGTAACATATGAGAACCATGTAGATATACATAAAGTTTCTCGAAACCCCAAACTACTGCTAAACACTCCTTCTTTGTCATGGAATAATTCACCTCCATTGGTTGTAATGTACGGCTTGTATACGCAATGGGATGGCACTGACCAAGCACACTCGGGCTCTCTTGCAATAACACACCTCCAAGACCAATATCATAGGTATCCAAGCGCAAAATAAAAAGTCGAGTGTAGTCCAGATATGCCAAAATCGGAGGAGTCGTCAACAGCTCTTTGAGATCCACAAACGCTTACTCACAATCCGGAGACCATATGAAAGATGACGTTGATGACTTCAGCAATGTTCTCAATGGTGCAATGCAATCAAAAAAATGATTCATAAAATGACCAAGATATTGCATCTTGCCCAAGAAGCACTACACATCATTCACACACTTCGGAGTAAAGAACTTTAGAACAGTTATAAGTTTGTTAGGATTAACTTGCAAACCCTCACAAAAAATACAATACCCAAGATAAGTTGTGTCCTTGGATCCAAACACGCACTTTAATCACTTCAGCTTTAAACCAACGTCCTGTAGCCGATTCAACACTTTACAAACATCATGAACATGCTACTCCCACGTCCCCTCTGAGTGGATCAAGACATCATCAATGAAATCAACAATTACCTCCAGGATATTCCAAATAACCTCGTCTATCATTCGCTAGAAAGTCGTTGGAGCATTGTTCAAATCAAACGGCATTACCAAAAACTCATATAAACCAAATGGGAAGAGGGTACACATCTAGGATCGTCACTTCATTTAACAGATGATAGTTGATGCAGAAACGAACACTCTCATCAGACTTTGTCACAAGGTGAAGTTCACATGCCCAAGGACTCTACGACTTCCAAATAACACCCTTCTCCAACATCTCCTTAACGTTTGCATATAAAATCTTGATATCTTTGGGTGACCGATGACGAACAACAACCTTGATTGGACGAGCATCTCTAGTTGGAATCGAATGACGTGTGGCAATTTTGGCCCTAGACAATAAGTCAAATTCAAAGAGATCAGAATGCTCCTTTATAAGCCGGTCAACTATTGCAACACTGGAAAAAGGTAGAGCAAAACAAGATGGAAACATAGGAGGAAATAATGGGGGGACAAAAGTAATGGAAGTAGAGGTAGAATTAGAAGGACGAAAAGATACAGAAGTGAGAGGAATTGACGAAACATAAGAAAGTATGAGACAAGGGGGAGAAGCCTTAAAATCACACTTGGCATCATTGCGTTGCAACCAATCTATACCAAGGATGAGGTCAAAAGCCTAACTTGGCACCACCCTCAATGACTGTAACTCAAGCTCAAAATTGCCCACACGCACAATCAAGTCTGCCTCATCCTGTGCACATGCATGTGTACAGCCATTGCCATAAAAAATGAAAATTGGTTTTGCTGCATGATGCAAGTGTAGACGGCAACATGTGGCAACAGGTCAAGCAATAGAAGATAAACCCAAACCTGTATCAACCACCACAGAGAGAATAATAGGAGATTGTTTGTTATAAAAACAAGCTTGGAAAGTAAACACTGGATGAATCAGTGCCGAGAGGACCCCTTGATGATACTCTCGAAAGAAATATGGAAGGGTCATTGACTTATTCATGCAAGGTCCTTCCATTACTTGCATGACTCCTTGTTTCCCAAATACATCACGGTGTCCAGACCTTCCACTACAGCAGCACCAACAAGACGTTGTTGACGTCAAGGTCTCCACCTAAGAAATGGTGGTTGCCAATCTGGACAACGCTAACAATGCCGATAAGTATGACCAACTTTATCACATGCTTAACACCAAACATCACGGCCATGACCATAGCCTCGCCCTTGTCCTTAAACTCGAGCAACAGCAGTATCAACCTCCACTAAAACAGGACCATCACCCATAGGAAGTGGAGCTAAAGGACGGGTAAGTCTGACAAGATCTTGACGAAGTGCTAGCTATAACATTCCTAGCTTGATCCGCTCCAACATATTAGGCTCCGCACGAAACAAAAGACTTTAGAAACGTCCGAATGCACATTTGAAGACGTTTGGGAGAACACTCTAATCCTCATAAGTGGTTGCGCTCAAACTATTGTACCACTACAATGTTGTCCCTTGGAAACACGTGAAAAACTCATGCAAACATCAAGCATTATCCCAAGAATGATATGTGGCAATCACCATGAAATGATCAAACCAATAGTACATATCATCCCCAGGATTCCCGCGAAAGAACTTTAGCTAAATACAAGGATTGGCACCAAGACCAAGAGGAACTGTACCACGTGCCGTGAATGTCACCATCAACTGAGTTTGGTTGTTCCATTGCAAGCACATAGTAGCAAACAATTGTACTAACTATTACTCCAGAGTCAAAGGAGGAGATTGCTGATGTGCCATGAAGATGAACAAAAAGGAAAGAGCAAAAGAAGAGAAATGACAAAAAGCTAGAAAGAAATGGACATCTAAACAATACAAAAAGCTAGATCTAAATCAAAATCTTGAAAAGAAAAAACAAAAGAAAGGAAATGGAAAAAGCTGGATCTAAACCCAAATCCTAAATCCAAGCACTCCTTAGGGACAATGAAAGATGCCCCTCATCTTCACCACTGTGAGTGTTTGGAATATGGAAAGAGAATATACATATCAATTAGCCCAAAAAACCTAGTTTATATATAGGAGTGAGTAGTTCGGATTAAAACCAATCCGACAGCTACCAAAATCTCACTACACTAATATTAATATATAGCATCGTAGTCGTACATTTGGCCCTCACAACACATATATTATTCTGATTGTTAAAATATTTTCTACTTTTTTAAGAAGTATAATTTTTATTTAAAAATTGCAATATTAAGTGTATTTTTAATGTTAGCCTTTAAAAAAAATGAGGTGCATTACCTATGCTTATGCCAAAAACTCTTTCAAACCTGCCATGGCTTTGCATCTATAAATTCATATTAGCTTCTTTTAAAGAGAAAGAGAATAATTTTGATCATATTTACTTTTAATTTATTGTTTCAAATAGTGATAAACAACATCTTTTAGTAACTTTATTAATAGCTAATATATGCAATATGAAGAAAATAATATTTAATGGAAGTTTGTGCATAACACTATGATAAAGGCATTAAAATCTATTATATAATTTGGTTTTTTGACAATATGGCCAATTCATTAATTTTGTTATTAATGTTTGGAAGAAAATCATAAATTTTATGCTACATACTACTTAATTGATACATAGGTAGAGGATATTTTTACTTATATGAATGTAAGTTTCTTATTAAATACATTAAGTACCATAAACAATTTATATAGTTTGAAAAAAGTTATTTTAAAATAAAGTTGAACTGATATAGTCATATATTAGATGCATTATAATGATATGTAATAGTAATATTTCTTCTTAATTAAGAATGTTATGATAAATTATATATTGGAATTTTTTCTTTAAATAATTTAGAAGATCTATAAAATATATTTTAATTTAATTTAAAATATAAAAAAAAATTAAAGAGATAATTTTATCACTTTTTAGGCATACAAATAATTTTAACACTTTTCACTTTAAGAAGCCTCTAACTTTTTATTTTTCCTCTTTTATTTTAATAAAGTGAAAAACTCAATAATTATTATTTCAAGATCCTGTTAGATTGGTTAAGACAAACTCATAATTTGTTATGACTCCTTTAATTTAAATGTCTGATAAACTTAATATATGAAAAAAATTCAAATATAACTCTTTTATAAAGAATATTCATAAAAACCAAACACTCCATAACAAGATTTATCAATAAATATTAAAATGGATAAGGCATTAGCTAACACAAAGCTAGTTCATAATCTCTCTCACATCTTCTCCACATACACTCTTTTCCCTAGGCTGAACACCACCACCTTTTTGTTGAGGAAATCATCCAGATGCAAAGCTAAGATGGGCTGTTCTTGAGGATCAAACTCTACCACAAAATTGATCTTCATGGACACCTAAGATGGTGCAATCAATGTGCCGTCCAAGTCAAGGATTAAAGTCAACTTTTTTGACCAATGAGATATCGATCTGATAATCAAGGTTGTAAAGATGGTTTAAAGTGGAATTATAAAAATTGCACTACCATAAGATCTCTTAGAACTAATACATGGTTTGCAAATAGTAATCTCACATTTGCTCAAATGCTGAGAGTGATGTATTGTTGGTGCATTAAAATGCTACAAAATCAAGTTTGCATTGAGTGTAGTATTAAAAGTGAGCATATGCAACAAATTGGTACAACTTTTGTCGTGATATTTGTATTATCACATTACAACGAGGTGATTTCGTCAATATATATTTGGCGAAAAATATATATTGACGAAAGGAAGCTGCATTTAATATTCTATGCAGTCATATTAAGCTATACAATCAAGATAATGCTTTTATAGTTAAATAAATAATATATTTGATTTTTTACATTTAAATACTTAAAAATAATTTAAAATAATATACTAGAACAATCTTTAATTTATAATAATGAGGTGGCATGCCCATCTAAGCAATGAGGTGGCATAAGCAAATGGGGCCCACCCTAAAAGGGGGTGCTGCCGTGGTGGAGACGGTGCTCTATCCCGATCGCCTCAATAACTGGATCTGCCTGCTGGGATCCTGCCGGAGGACGCGCGGCGTGCCGCTCGCGCTACTAGCCGCGCGGTGGAGCTCAATCGAGCAGCGCCTTACATTCTCCTGGAAATTTACACTCAAGGAGCTCCATAACTCGATCGGTACCTCCTCGAGGACCGTGGTGATCTCGCCGCGCTCCAGAGCCCCGTAGAATTCCCGGGCGCTTGTAGCTGATGTGGTACATTTTCCAGCAAGAAGACACTGATACAGAAACATTGGCGTGATCAAATTGAGAGCCCGAGAGCGAGATCTCCCTCACTGTTCTTCGGTAGGGCTTGGCCTGGGGATGCCGCTGGACATCGTGGACGATGAATGGTAGCGCCATATGCTCCCTGAAGATTGGTCGCTCAATGGATCAGATCAAGAGCAGCAGCTCGGCCGATCTCGGCCTCAACACGATTCAGTGATCTTCGGCGGGAAAATGGAGTTTTTAGGAAAATGAAGAACCACGTCAAGGCTTACCTTGATTTTTTCGTCTGCTTTTAAGCAACTCGAGATTGATTATGTGATTGGTGAAAGCGAGAAAGGGTGGGTGCCAGGAAGACTTGGCCCTGCTGGACTTTTGAGGATGTTTGGTGTGACCAGCAAGGTCTGTCTTTGCTTTTACAATCTTTTACAGGCTCATCTAGGAATTTATATCAGCTTTACAGACATGAAGCAAACAGGAATAGCAAGACTCCCACTTTAGAGATGGTCCACAAGCGCAGGTTGATGTATTTTCAATCACAGAGAGCAAGGGCGTTCCCCAAGATTGTTGTTGCACTTCCAACAATGGTTGCTTCCTGTAGAGGTACGACAGGAATTCTTGAATAAGGCATCACTTTGGAAGGCTTTGGTCATGACTACACGCCGACTTTCAACCTGCCAAATCGAGATTGATACACTGTGAGTTTGTCATCTCCATTGTGAAATATTGTGATATGTTCAACACACTTTTCTTTGTGCTTTCTGACCCAGATACAACAAGATTGTCAGTCATAGTGCTCCAAGCTTGCATCGTTTCGTATCCGTTATTCAGGTGCGTATCTTTTATTTGCTTCGATTCAATAAGTGACGCCATTATGTTGATTGGGGATCTTGTGACAGTACGCTCAAATCTTCCTCTGCAATCAGAACATGTTTCAATACTCAACATGCATATGCGGCCAAACACTTCAACAGGATTTCCCGGCAGAACTTATCGATACTTGGTATGGTGGGTAAGGTTTTTCTTAAAAGCGAAAATATAGTACAATGTGCTTGTGATTGTGCAAGATCTTGTCCCTGATTTTATATTACAATCACTTTCTTACTTAGTGGACTGGGTCGCTGTTTTGGGCGTGCATGTCCAGCATCACGGTCCAGGCCACAGATCCAGCTCGGGCATCGCATCGAACAGCCTCTTTGCTCGATGTATGTGCCCGGAAGTGGCATTTGCAGCGAGCATTGCGGGCGAAACCATCGTCCACGAAGCTAAGCTATGCTCGGCAGCGCTTTTGTCAAGGGACGTTCGAGCTTCTTCGGCATAGCGGGGTTGGAAGCACGAAGAGCAGGAGGTTTGTGGAGATAAAGCTCTTGAGCGGCACATAGTTTTGGCTTCTTCAACGCTGCAGCATGATCGTCCAGGCCCAAGCCCTTTTTCGTGAAACGCTGAGTTCCACGAGACTTGATCACAAAGGCACATAATTTGGCTTCTTCAACGCTGCAGCATGATCGTCCAAGCCCAAGCCTTTTTTCGTGAAACGCTGAGTTCCACGAGACTTGATCACAAACGGGCATTTGTGAGAAGACATCGTTTGCTTCGTCGACGAGGCCATGTTTTGATTCTTCACGGCTTTGACACCAGTGCCCGCATTCCCGGCATTTTGTAGAAAACTTCCTTACGCTGATGTAAATGGTTGCTGCCGTACTTCGCATAAACGCTGGGCAAACGTTTGGCATATGCCGCGAGCATCGCGTTCCACGAGACGAGATTCCTCTTATGTTTCGAAAGTATGCCGCGAGCATGACGTCCCATATTGATTTGGATCACAACGCCACGTAGGACCACGTAGGGCTGGATAATGACGTGTCAGAATAAACTTTCGAACTGAGACCAACTTGGCGTGTCAATGCCGCGGGGCCTTATCGCTTTGTGGAGGATTGGATTCTTCCATGGAACATCGACAATCTTTTCCACATGAACTTATCACTGCATGAATCCATCACCGAAAAATGCTAAATGGTATGCATGTATCGTAGATGCTAGCATTTGATGTGCCTTAAGAAAACCACTTAGTTTTCTAGATTTGGGCTTCTGTTTTTGCAGTGGCGATAGTTTGAAGCGCTCCACGCGTGTTTAGGCCGAGCTTGGTGTAATTGAGCAAATAGTCCTTGAAGACGACGGGTTTGTAGAGAGCTGGATGTGGACGAGCTGGGGGGAAGGAGCAATCGGCAACGATTTGGCTGGGCCCATGAGCGTCGCGACTGAAATCCGGAGCTTCTCCTTGTTTACCACTGCCCGGTGCTCCACGCTATGATATCTTCCATTGCTTATGGTCACAAACAAAACCAATGATTGGATTCTACTGTTTGCTATTGTTTGCTGTGTTCATGATCTAAAAGTGTGCTTGGACAAATAAATAGTGAAAAAAACAATATGACAAATAAAAAAATACATTTATTCCAAACACCTTTGAGATTTTACATGGCATTAGCATGTTGTGTCTTTAGTTGCATCAATTTAGATGCTGGAAAAAACTTTGAGTTTAAGAACTTCTTTCCATCTTCACTACTTTATGGTTGACAAACTGTAGGGAATTTAGTATTTGCGGAAAGTTAAATGCTGCCAAGCTTTTTAACATGATCATCCAAGGGTAAGTAGAAGCAACTATCATAAAACTCATTTGAGTGAGAATTTAAGAGTTCTCCAGTCTTGGGTTTAGTTTTCATGCTTTAAGTTAAAAGGCCATAGTTCACCCTACTTTGCCTTAAGTACCCATCTATCTTATCTCTAACATTTGTCTTTTTTTCCATGTGTACGGCCAAGGCTCTTCCTGAGGATCCTGGGCCCGGAATGGCGCTGCCGGGTCGACTGGCCCCAATTGCCTGAAAAGGGCATATAAACATAGGAGCCAGAATTTTCCTACGTACCCCCACATGTACCAGCTCTTCAGAACTAATTTAATGAATCTACAGCAACAACTAAAAAATGGATGGAATTATTGGGATTTCTGGTGCCAAAGAGCAGATGTGGAATGGCCGGTGCAATATTTTGCTGATGTGGCACTATCCTACATGTCTTTTAACACGTGTCATTATGTTGAATCAAGTGTTTTAGATCATGAACGTCCAATTGATCGAAGGCCCGGAATCGATTGGGCCCAGTGAAAACCTGAGCCACTCAAAGAGCGGCTGCAGGGCCTTATCGCTTTGTCTATATCGAAAAACGTAAAAGATTAGATTGTTCCATGGAACATCGGCATGAATCTTTCATGAATGTATCACCGCATGAATCCATCACCGACACGAAAATGCTAAATGATATGTATGTGTAGTAGATGCCATTCAGGGGCATTTTCTGTTCCTTATGAAAACCTCCTAAGTTTCTAGTTCTGGGCTTCTGTTTTTGCAGTGGTGATGGTTTGAAGCGCTCCACGCGTATTGAGGCCGAGCTTGATGTAATTGAGCAAATAGTCTTTGAAGACAACGGGTTTGTAGAGAGCTGGATGGGTTTTGTCGACGAGCTGGGGAGCAGGAGCAATCGACGACGATTTGGCTGGGCCAATGAGCGTCGCGACTGAAATCCGGAGCTTCTCCTTGTTTACCACTGCCCGGTGCTCCACGCTATGGTATCTTCCATTGCTTATGATCTACACAAACAAAATCAATGATTGGATAGGTTCTCTCTACAGTTGCTACTCTTGGGCAGCAAGATCTTTGCAACATACCTGGAGCTGATCACCCAAGTTCACGAGAAGGGCCTCTGGAAGCATTTTCACCGTGACCCACTGATGGTCCTTGTGAAACAATTGGAGACCATTGACTTGGTTCTGGACTATGACTGTGAGAGCAGTAGCGTCAGAGTGAGCTCCAAGCCCGATTGCTTGATTGGGATCCGGACACGGCGGGTAAAAATTCATGGCTAGAATCCTCTCGCGTCCCGCCAACTCTTCGTTCAGGTATCCCGCCGGAAGCTCCAAGCTTTCGGTCATAGCTTCCAGTAACACGGACACGAAGTCATTGATTCGCCCTCCATACGAATTCACAGCATCTCTACATAAGAAAGAAGAAAACTCCATTTCTCTTTTTTCTTATCAAAGGCAGAAAGACCAAGCTCTTGGATTGGAATGGAAGAGTCTAACCTTGGGAGGTGTTCTTTGGCTGGCCAGACACTATCAGCTTCCAGAGCTGACGCTTCAGCGGGGATGCGGAGAACGTCCTTCCACTCAAGGATGACGTCGCGGGAAGAATCAAAGCTAGTGGAGTAGCGCATGGGCCGGCCGTCAAACACAGTGACAAAGTACTTCATCTTCTCCTCCACGGGTACGTCGTAGAAGTGCTTTGCAGCGTTTCGCATTCCTTGAAGGATATCCTTTGGAACACCATGGTTGATCACCTTCCAGGGAGTAGAATCGAAACACACAAACTTTAGCTCTTATCACTTTCACTCCCAGGCACGGAAATCGAGAGCTCACCTGGAAAGCACCCCACTCCCGGCAAGCTTGATCCAGCTCTCGCAGGAATTCTTCCTTTCCACCAGCAGCAGCGCTACTCGTGAATTCACTCAAGTCGAGCACTGGAATTTGAGCGCCCCCGGCGGCAGCTTGGATCTGGATCTTTTGAGGCTGCACGTACTCTTGTGGAAGAGATTGGTGAATTTGCAGCTGCTCAATTAGAGCTTGGATGGGCTTTGAAGCCATCACTCTCTCTTTCTCTTTCTCTCTGGGAGCTTCTTAAAGACGAATACCAGGTCTTTATGAGAGAGATGTGAACGAGAGAAGAGAAAGAGAGAAAGGAAGAGGGGCGAGCGCGAAGGAGCAAGCGAATTGATAGTGATATGATGCCAGCGAATAAACTCTCATTGGTGGAAATGACCACGTGTTTTATATTTTCTTTTTTGTTATTTTGGGATACTATTCACACTTTAGCTCTTTAATCTTAGGATGAGCCGAGGTTTTAAAATTTCGCCGCAAAAAGGAGAAAAAAAAAACCACACGTGCGCGACGTTAGACATATATAGCACGTGGGTTTATAAAAAATCCAAAGTGAGAGATGGAATGATCGATCGGGAGTACTCAATGGTCTGACTTACCATTGTCAACGTCATCCCAAATGTTGAATTCAAAAGTGCCAGGCTTTACAGGTATAAGGTGAGGAAGCACAAGATTGTACAAGCAATACCATCAACATTGTTAAATTAGTATAATTCAGTTATGGTGTATCTGTAACACGATCTATCACACCTCAAAAGATGTATTAAAAACATAAAAGATTATTACTATCATCTCTAGTTAGTCTCTCCTTACACCTTGACTTCAAAATTGATTATTTTGAGACCAATCCCTTGCTATGATTTAGTTAAATAGTGCTTGCTTGTCCAAACAAGGATGTGGATGTTGCATTCAAGAACAACGATGATGACATAGATGATGTTTAGTATTGGGTGTGTGATGAAATTTGCCACATGCATCGTGCAACTGTCAATATCCTTTATTTTATAGGTGGAAAACATGGCAATGTTGAGTAGTGAAACATGTTCTGATTGCAGAGCAAGATTTGAGCGTCATCACATTTGGAACCGTAGGACGATTACTGTCACAAGATCCACAATCTACATAATGGCGTCACTTATTGAATCAAAAGATACACACCTGAATAACGGATACAAAACGATGCAAGCTTGGAGTACTGGCCAGTAGCACTATGACTGACAATCTTGTTGTATCTGGATCAGAAAGCCCAAAGAAAAGTGTGTTGAACATTTCAAATATTTCACAATGGAAATGACAAACTCACAGTGTATCAATCTCGATATGGCAGGCTGAAAGTCGGCGTGTAAGCATGACCAAAGCCTTCCAAAGTGTTGCCTTATTCAAGAATTCCTGCTTGGAAAAGCGTACTTAGTTTCAGTACCCCTTGCTTTCTGTGATTGGAAGTACATCAAGCTTCGCTTGTGGACGATCTCTATGTTTGTAACAAAGTGGGAGTCTTGCTATTCCTGTTTGCTTCGTGCTTTCTTGTCTGTAAAGCGGATATAAAAGTAAGGCCCAAACCCGGGAATTCTACGACGCTCTGGAGCGCGGCAAGATCACCACGGTCCTACCGATCGAGAAGGTTATGGAGCTCCAGGAGAATGTAAGGCGTTGCTCGATTGAGCTCCACTGCATGGCAATATGGCATAAAAATATTTAAAAAATATAATATCTGGAATTTCCATTTTGTCTATATATAATGTAATTCATTATTATGAGCATATGCTATTTACAATTTTTAGTAGTTAAGCTTTATCATTGAGTTTTCTTGATGATATACTTGTTATTATGATGACTTTAACTTTTAATGATCTTGGTTTGTATAATCCTTCAATTTTGTCTTGATTCAACAATTTTTCAATTAAAGCTACAATAAAATTAGCAAAATTTAATCTTAATAAAAATCATTATGAATAAATTAGTAAAACTATATCATCAATGCAATTAGAAGAATTTTAGATGATCATATCATAACCACCTATATGTGAAGCAATTATATTTTCTTTGGGCAATTTATATCGTCTTCAAACAGAAAAAAATATTCTTCTATTAGAATCAAACTGCAACCTATTCCAATCGCTTGGTCAAAATGGTGAAAGTGAAGAGCGTGTCTCCTGATAGAGCAGCACACCCACGAGTTTGATGGAAATTTCATTACCTTCGGCATCTTGCCAAGAGTCGTACAGGCAGGTGAATACAAGTAGATATAATATGGTTGCTTCTTACTTCCATCTTTCTTCCACTCGTAAAATCTGCAAAAGCGAAGTCGTGTGCGCAGTAGAAGATATGATATGCTTGTTTTGGTACCCTTCGACACTCACGAGGCACCGTTTCGCTGGAAGAAGGAAACTTAAACTTAATTAATTTTTTAAGAATGGATCATTATCTCTAGTTTATTTTGTAATATTTCGAAAAGGAGCCAGCACCAAAAAGGAAACAACCCTAAATTACAGCAATAATAATTCTTAAAAGATAGTGATCAGACTGAGGGAAATGAACTGAATGTCTCAAGGGTGCCTGCGCCACCATCTTTCTATAACCCAATCCAAGCATCCAGATTCTTTTCAGCCAGACAGAGATACTTTTGTTTCAAACAAACTGATCGAGATGTATGGGAAATGTAAATCACCAGAGCAAGCACGCCGGATATTCGACGACATTACTGTCAAGGACATGTTCTCATGGAATCTAATGCTGTCAGTGTATTTCAGAAATGACTGCCTTAAAGAAGGAAAAGAGCTTTTCGACAAGATGCCCGGGAGGGATTCCGTGTCATGGAACACCATGCTGGCGGCCTACAGCGACGAAGGTGACGTGGAAACCACAAAGAAGATATTCCTCCAAATCCCCAAGCCGGATCTGGTATCATGGAACTCTCTCTTGTCGGCATATGCCCAAAGCGGGTATCTCCAGTATGCGGCGTCAACTTTTGAGAGCATGCCCCAAAGGGATGTGATTTCGTGGAGCTCTTTGTTGGCGGGGTATGCACAGCATGGGTCTTTGGCTACAGCGGTCCAGATCTTTCGCGAAATTCCGGAACGGAATCTCGTAGCGTGGACGGCCCTGATTTCCGTGTACGCCCAGCACGGGCATCTGGAGGAGGCAAAGCGGGTTTTCTGCGAGATGCCACAGCGCAACCTGGTGACGTGGACGTCTATGCTTGTAGCTTTCTCAGGAAACGGGAAGCTGGAGGAATGTGAGAAGATATTTCACTCCATGCCGCAGTGGGACGTGGTTTCCTGGAACTCGCTACTGTCGGCATATGCCCAGAATGGGCATCTTGGATACGCTTTGGGTATCTTTGCCACGATGCCTTTTCGGGACGTGGTGACGTGGAACGCTATGCTGAATGCTCACGCTAGAGCCGGGCAAGCGGAGACAACCAAGAAAATCTTTGACTCTATGCCAGTCAGGAACCTTCTGTCGTGGAATCTGGTGCTGTCGGTGACTGCCCAGCAAGGGGATCTGGAAGGTTTAAAAAATATCTTCAATGAGATGCCTCAGAAAGATCTTGTAGCTTGGAATGCTATGATATCAGCCCTGCTACAAAGGTGGCGGCTGGAGGAAGCCAAATCCTTGTTTGAGAGAATGCCGCAGCCCAACCTCGTTTCGTGGAACGCTATACTTGCCGCTTATGCCCAACACGGGCATATCCGCGAGGCGGAGTGCACTTATAGCCAGATGCCCGAAAGAGATTTAGTGTCCTGGACTTCGATGCTTGCTGCCTATGCTCAACACGGGCATCTCTCTCATTGTTGGGAAATATTTGGTAGCATCCCTGAGCGGGATCTTCTATGCTGGAACACGATGATCTTTGCTTACTTTCACAATGGCCATCTCCACCGAGCTCGAGCACTCTATGATCGTTTGCCCGAGTGGGATTCGGGCTCGTGGAGCTCACTCGTCGCCGCTTACGCTGAGAACAGGCACTGGGACGAGGCATTTAGTCTCTTCTTCGTTGGGAACCTTGTGGATCTACCAGACGAGAGATGCTTGGCCGCTGTTTTGGTTGCTTGTACTCATGCAGGGACTGTTTTCTCTGCCAGGAGCTGCTTTGTTTCGATGAGCTTTGACCATGGGCAAGAACCGACGAGGCAGCACTTGGTTTGCATGGTTGATCTCTTGGCGAGAGCTGGTTACCTCAGAGATGCGGAGGATTTGATCCAGAGCATGCCTTATGTTCCAGACGTATTCGAGTGGACATGCCTTCTTGGTGCTTGTAGAAGTTACAAGGACTTCAAGTATGGAGCTAATGCTGCTTCTCGTGTTGTGGCACTCGAGCCTAGAAACGCGGCTGCTTATGTATTGCTTGCTAATGTAACCTCTCCACAAAAAAGTTAAATAAATTAACAATGTTTTCCTTTATCTTTTGTAGTGTGTAGTATCACTAAACTAAACAACTTTTAGATATTCCACTTTTTTTTACGAGCTGAGTTTTGTAAGGCTGCCAAAGCACAGCTTTTCTTGTCTGGATGTTTCAAAATTGAGTGGCCTCTACAGCTTCCATCTTTCCAGGATTAAAGCTTTCGCTTCACATAAATTTCAAGCACCATCACCACCCACCACCAGCACGACAGGGGCCTCTTTATTCCCTTGTGACGAAGAAGAATTTAAGCCTGGAAAGATGAACGCTTTGCGAGACTGCGAGCTTTTTACATATTGTAGACTTGGAGATGAGAACGATTCACGGAGATCTGTAGGAGTGAGAGTCTTGCCGGCGGAGAGGGATTTGCTCTGACATTTCTTCGTCATCTGGTCGTTTGACAGAGGGAAATCCATTGTAAATGGCTGCAAGACAAACCTGGATAAGGAAAAAAACGAAAGAAACAGAGATCCAGTCGTCATACCTCCCTTGAACGAAGCTAGCGCTGGAACTGGTTCGCAGTGATCCTTTGTGACGTGGAGCAAGTATGTTCCAGCGAGAATGGTGACGAAGCCGCAAAGCTCAGTGACGACTTGCGCAGGAGTCTGTCTGTCCCAGTCCTGGACAAACCAAATAAGTATTAAAAACGCTGGTTCCTTGGCGAAGTAGTAAACAGAAAGAACGAACCTTGAACATGATGACGCTAGCTACGATTGTCAAGGAGGTAAACATGACATAGTAAATTGGAGATACAACTGCAGTATTAAAAGTATCTAACGCCTGCAAGGAAAACCTTGTATGAGCAACGGAAAAGAAACAAGGAAAAAATGAAAATGACCGAGTTACCCTGTTCAGATAATTCATCTGTGTTATGACACAGGTCGCAAGCACCATTGCGAACACCCATGTCTGTGGATACATTAATTGATTGATACCTTCGAATGTCAGTTTGAGGGCAATCCCGAGAGCCTTGGCACTCATCACCTGATAGAATCAATCCATGAGGACCAAAGCAAACTTGTTGTCATCCAAAGCGCTTACCGACAGTGATCCCATAAACGAACAGATACCAATGTAGACCAGTATCTGCGTGTGCCCATACTGGGGTACGTAGAGGAAAATAAGAATCAACACCACGGCTACGACAGAGGTCGCATACAGCAAAAACGCTGGAGAAAGAAACAAAAAAACTAATGAATCAAAGGCCTAGAAAGGAGGGAAAGATTTACCAGGTTCGCTCGCTAGATCCCAAACTTGCTTCACCGATTCAATATCACGTTCCCCAGGAGCATGCAAGACAATAGTCGTAGAACCCACGACACAAAGAGCACAGCCGAGCATTCCCAGAACATGTAGCTTCTCCTTAAGAATGACATGCGCCAATGCTGCACTGTAAAAAAAACAGCCTCAAACTGTAAGAAATCCAGCTTCACGCTTTATCCTCCACTCACCTTACTATAATACTCAAAGCTCCTAAAGGCGTGACAAGTATCGCAGGAGCAAACGCATACGCTGCAAAGTTTGCAACCTCGCCAAATATCACTGCTCAAAGAAGTGAGCAAACTTTGTTATTTCGCATTTTCATCCTGGAAAAACTAGCTTACTTGTGATCATGCCTGCCCACCAAAGCGGTTCATACAGATAGGAGTAGCCCCCAACACCTACAAAAACACGAAAAAGCTGTGACTAGAGCACGACATTGCAACTAAAAAAAAGGAATTTAAAACCATGCCTACCAGCACGAACTCCAGAAGCACCAGCTCTCTTAAGCCCTTTCTTCTTGATGATAAAACTCGCTCCAATGAAGAGGCTGGATGAGAGAGCCAACACCAGTCCCTTGTGATTATCCGTCGTGACGGCCATTGCTGGATCCTGCGAAGCAGTAGCCTGTGCCATCGAAAATCCGCGACCCTGCGCTACAAATCACTGATCCCTGAGCTGGGAGAAGGCCCTGCGCATCCAATCCGGCTCAAAATCTCGCAGCTGACATACATTCTCGGCGTGCGCCACACCTTCCCGAGAATTAGGTCGACCGCCTACCAGTGCTCCATTTCCCAGCGCCTCGCGGGATCGACGAATTCCTGCCGGTGGCGAGCTAGGGCTCTTGACAAGGACGTGGAAGCCGAGCGAAGATAGAGAGAAAACTTGGATCAGACCCTTCCACTGTCCCTAAAATGTGTTCTTGCGAATATGCCCTGGGTTGAATTATTTTAACGTTTTGAGACGCCAGTTTTGCCCTAGCTCTAGCTCGCCCAGCGATGGAGCGATCGATTGCGGCGCTGGTAGCTCGCGGCGGTGGCGTGTGACGAGAATGGAGGTGCGTTTCTTGCTCTTCCTGACCTAGGTATTGATCGATCGCGCAGGTGAGGAACGAGAAATATAGCGCTTGCTTGCGCCGGGGCAAGATTACGGTCGTGCGCCTCCAACAGGGCAAGGATCGCAAGCTCCATTGGACGTTTCCGAGCGGCGGGGGCGCCAGCGATGCCAGCTGCGTGGAGATCGCGCTTGATTTCTTGATCTATGGGACAAAGAATGGGGATATCGTGCATTATCTTCTTGAAGAAGATGCCCCGCTGCTGTCAACGACGTTTCATCACTTGCAAGGCATCAAAAGGTTGGGATTCTTGTCTTGCTGCTGAAAATGGCCTTTAGATCTTTTTTGGTCCATCTCTCTATTTTCTCTGATTCTTTTTTCTGCGTGTAGGCTGTGGGTTAATGTCATTGGGACACGAGTGATACTTGAGGACGAAATGGAGCATCTCTTTGTCTACAATCCTGTTTCGCAAGAGGTTCTTATCGTTTTCTGGTTGCTTTGACGGGATGAGTAAAACTTGCAGACATCCTTGATAAGCGAGACTGACAATCCGGACAACGTGCTGTGGGATTCCGATGATTCGAATGTAGTGGTGATTTCTAAAGGCCATGAAGACATGGTTTTTATCTATTCCAGTGCGAGTGTCTCACCGAAGCTTATGTTCGTAGGCTTGTCAACGACAAGGCCTGCTGGATTTGTTCCTTTGGCACTCCAGAACGGAGTTTTGACGAGCCAGGTAACTGCATGTTTGTTCATCGAGGTTTCTTATTCCTGATTTGTGTAGCAGGGGAGTGCTCCTGTACAAGAAGTAATTCTTGAAACACACAAGTGGATCAAGGTGAAGACGCCTACCAACTAATGACTTCCTGTTTTAAAAATGTCTGCAGGGGCGAGTTGAAAGCCAAGCTGAGAGAAGGATGAGATTTGATCAAAACATTGCTCTGTTCCATTTCAAGGAGGCGTGGAATGATGCGATTGTTTTAAATGAGATAGAGGTACTGCTCTGTTGCTGAATGCTCCATGACGGTGTATGTCAGGTGTGGGACGCTTTAGCGAAACAGGCGCTGGGGCAGATGGATCTGGATTTAGCTTTAAAAGCTTGCCAGCAAGCAAAGGACGTGAAGATGCAAATGCTTTTACGTCCTTTGGAACACATTGAAGATAAATATTTATTCGCTGGTCATGTAATGACAATATTTGGAGAGCATGATACAGCACAGGTACAGAGTGTGTCCAGTGAATTCTAGTGAGCGCGCAAATCCAATTAAACTTTGACAGGATTATTTTTTGAAATCTATACATCCGCAATCTGCAGTGGATCTACGAATGAGCCTACAGCAATGGGATCGGGTAAGGAAGCCTGATCTTTGATCTCATCGTCCTTTTCTTTTAGGCGTTGCCACTAGCTGTTCAACTGGATTCGCCTTCAATCCATGATATAAAGTGGCACTACGCTCAGTGGCTTGAACGGAAAGGCGAATACCGTCAATCAGTAATGCATTATCAAGATACTCTGAAAGTGTGCCTTCCCGACACACCTCGTTACTCTCAAGCAAAGGTGTAGTCTTTGGTGATATTTTATCTCGTCCGTCAACCTGTCTTGTTCAGACCGGCCTAGCACGGGCACTTATTCACGTTGGTGACATTTGGAAGGGAAAGCAGTTGGCAATAGAGTGCAATGATACGCGCCTTTTTGGCGAATGCGCAAAGATTCTCGAAGGCTTGAACTTATTACAGGTATTTCTTCTGCTATTATCTCCCGGTCAGCTTTACTATCTGATGTCGCTAGGATGCTGCAGAACTATATGAGATGGGTAAACAGCCTCAAAGGGCCACAAGGCTATACATTGCAGCCAGAAACTACTCAAAGGCTTGCTTGCTTGTAAAGGAGCTAGATAGCTTAATGTTTTACAACGAAGTAAGCTGAAGCAACACAAGAAGTTCACTACTTACATTGGTATGGCTAGTATGGGAGAGCTATGGATGGGGAACGAAAATATTCTGATGCGTCAGCTGCATATGAAGCGGGAGAGGTGAGCATATTCGAATTACAGTGCATGTTTAACGCTTGCTCTTACTCGCAGGATTTTGAAAACGTAGTTCGGCTGGAATTAGGACCACTAAATAACCCCTCGAGAGCTTATTCGGTGGTGTATGAGGTAATCTTTCATCGAACTTGAGTCTCCGACTATAAGTTTTACACAGACTAAGTCCATTTCCGGAGCATTTCTAGCTGCGAAGTTCTGCAAGGGAAATGGAGATTACGAGCGAGCTATTGAATTTTTTATCATGGCAAAAAGGTAATATATTATTCTTTGGGGGCATCTTTCTGCAGTATCAGCTTAATCCGGACTGTAGAAGGGACGAAGCTCGGGAGCTGGCTCAACTTCATGGTAAAATGGATGTATACACCGGACTCGTGGTTGATATAGCGTCAACTGAAGAACGTTTGACACTCGCCAAGTTAAGCTTCAATTTCCATGTTATTTCTGATCTGTGAACTTCCTTTATGCGATGGTCAGGTACTACGAATCCACGGGAAACTACACACAAGCTGGCTTACTGTTCGAACGTTGCAATGAAACAAAGAAAGCTCTTAACTTGTACCTTCAATGGGGTTCGGCTGAAGGAATTGATCAGGTAATGAGGATTATTTTAATGTATTAAGGTTAAAGCTCTTTGCTTCAGGCCATAGCAATGGTTGGGCGTCTTAAAGCCGAGGAACTTATCTCGCAATTGTTTGATTTCCTGACGGATGCCACAAGAGCGGAAAAAACACAGAAACATTTGCAGCGCTTGCACACGGTCCTTGGGCATTACGAGCAGGCCACAAAAGCTGCCAAATTAATTGCTGACCAAGAGAGGGTGAGTAGAAGTGAGCTGTGAATAGTCAGTCTCTGATCATTGTTATCGTAAAACAGGAAGCAGGCAATTATAGGAGCGGGCATCAACTTCTACTGGATTACTGTAGAACACTTCAAGATCACGGAAAGCAAGTGCCTAGTGAACTCCTTAGACAACTCATGCTTCTTCATTCCTACATTCTTGTAAAGACGTTAATCCGTCTTGAAAATCACAGGTTTGGCCCTGCTTAACTTTTTCCTTAATTCATTTGTTTCGTGATACATTGTTTGCTCTTCAGATTAAGTGCTCGCATGCTCATCCGCATAGTGAAAAACATTTCGATGTTTCCTGCTCACGTAGTTCAGATTCTCACATCGGCCGTTATCGAGTGTCAACGTTCAGGCCTGAAAAAATCCGCTTTCGATTATGCTTCCATGCTAATGAATCCGGAGTACAGGTATTATTTACTTTTGTTTTGCGAATCACGTGATTGACTTTCGATTCAGGCAGATGATTGCTCCTGCGTACAAACGAAAGATCGAAAAAATAGTACGCAAGCCGGAAAAGGTTGAAGACGAGGAGCCTCTGTCTCCATGCCCCGTGTGTTCGCTACCTATACCAGAAACGCAACTTGACTGTCCGGCTTGTGGAAGCAACATCCCTGTGAGTGCTGGCGTTTTGGAATTTTTGCCTCAATCCCTCTGTCTGTGCAGTTTTGTATAGTTTCTGGTCGGCATATGGTGTTGGAAGATTGGACAACATGCCCCAGCTGCAAGTTCCCCGCTCTCATGTCTGAGTTCTTAAAGGTCATATCCAAACATTATGATTCAAACACAGGTGTAGTAACTTCTTTAACTACAGATGCTGGAAGTAGAGAAGACATGTCCTATGTGCAGTCAACCCGTTGCTGAAGAGGACCTGGTGCTTGTAAATCCGGATTTGAAGAAGTGATGCCGATGCTGGAAGCGGCATCGAGGCTAGCGCAAGATAACAGTAACGATTAGCAGGAAGGGATGGCGATCTTAAACTTCCCAAGCAGATGTTTGACGGGCTCCAGGATCCCAATGAAACGCTATGATCAGCGCGTACGTGAAGCACGGATCTCAAAGATGCAAGGGACCTCTTTTTTCGTGCCATCACTTGGACACCGATGGTCATGAGCTGGATATATGCAACAAGCTCGTGGCCTAGCTAGCGCAGGAAGAAGATCATGGTCCTTGATCACGGGGGCCTCGAAAAGCTCCCAACTTGAAGACAAGAAGCTCTTCGTCAAGATGCCGCTCGCTTAGAAATAGTGGGGCTAAGGCGTCCCAGAAATGTGGCAATCATGCATACTATTTGCTATATTATTCGCACCACCTTTTTCTCTTTCTGTGACGCTTCATAGTGTACAAACCCACGCTCGTCAACGCATACTAAGGATTTAAGGTATCTGAAAGTACATATATTTTTCATATCAACTTTGATAAATCTTGGATCTGGTTGAGTTTGTTTGATGCCGCTCCGTTACTTCTGTTCGGGTCCGAAACGATGATGGTGCGCTTTGGATCCAGAATCCAGGTCCCATGAAACGTGCCCCCGGCCAGAAGAGGGTTATCCATGCCGTGGTAGCGGCTGCTCGCATAGTGGAACGCCAGATTCGCCGGGATTGCGCAGGAGAGAACATCCAGGAACTTCAAGAAGTCCTTCCCATTCCGGGACGCGTTCGCGGCAAGGATGTTGCGGTAATAGATGAATTCTTCTTCCTTGTCCTGGATCATCCTGCATGTAGCGTTCACTGCTTCCTGAAACGTCTGCACGCTCGGATCGGTGAGCAGCAGCACAGCCGGCAGGTTGTTCAACTTCTTCTTGTAGAACTCATTGCGAAACGAGAAGATATCGTTCACCATCCATATATGATCAAGCATAGCGTTCTGAGCACTGACGAAATCCGGGGACTCGACATCCTCATCTTCAAAGGAAGCGCCAATGAGTGTGTAGAACAGTGGCAGAATGAAGATGTTGTTCCTCCTGTAGAGCTTGTAGTCCTGCTTCAAGTCGTCACTCGAGATGCTTCTCGCCCAACCCTCGACAGTGGAAACTGTGCGCTTGAAGAGCTCCGGCTGCAACAGAGACCTCAAATCCTTCATCAGATCGTGGCAAGCTCGATACGCAACAATGTCTGGAACTTCCGCAAGCGATGCGGTTCCATTGCAGAGGCTAAGAACAGTGTCGAGATACGACGTTGCGGCGACCTCGTTGTCATCAATCGGGTCGTCCAGGAAGGCAATGGCCCAAGCAAACTTGGCCGACGCCACCATATTCTCTTTCGGAGCGTGAGCCGTGGAAAGGCATGTCACCATTGGAACCTTCCACTGGAGCAGGGATTTCTTCTCCTCCGGACTCAAATCCCTCCTCGTGCATTTGAATGCCCACTCGTTTGCTTCCCTGGTGATTGACTTGTACTCGGGGTGCCTGTGGAAAGAGAGAGAGCATGGTACCTCCGGAAGCTCGAAACTCTCGAGAGCGAAGAGACGTTCTACCGCTGATAGCTTCTGCAAACACAGGCTCCCCATTTCTTTCTGTCAAGCACAATGGTTTCAACAGCTCTTCGATTTATATTAAGTTTCACGTCATGCTGCCCGGTTTGTCCGCTTGGATTGGAACAATAGTACTAGCATGAACCATTTGTAGCTTCTGTTAAACACGGACTCTCTGTCAATCACAATGGCTTCGACAGGTCTTCGATTTATACTAAGTTTCACGTCAAGCTGCCCGTTTTGTCCACAGCGCGATGGAATTGTAAGAGGAGAGAATCTACCAATTATTTAGTACTATCATAATCATTTGCAGCTATTCCAAATAATTCCGTAAAATCCGGATCAATTTGACTTGGAGAGCACGATCACTCTTCTCTCGTGTTCTTGTTTGGAGAGGTCAACCCTCTAATTATCTCAACTACCTAGTGGTTCGCTTCTAGTTTTCGCTCTTGGGGGCATTCAAACAATTGTGATATAAGTTTCTCTACAGCTTGAAGAAGAGAGCTTGAAACTCGATACATAGAAAATCGATCACTCCTTCAGGCGAACCGCATTGCCAGAGCTGCAAGATCCCTATGAGTTGTTAAAGAATACATTATGACTCAATAACTTTCCTTTGTTTGATTGAAGAGGTGATGCCTCTCCCAGCATCACCGGAAGATCACAGTGCTGATGGACTCGCAAGATTGGTCCGACGTGCAAAAGACTTGACCCAGGCTAGAAAGGTTCACTCTCTCGTACTCGGAAGCAGCTACAGTCGAGACAGGTACCTGGCCAATCTCCTCGTCCACATGTACGGCAAGTGCGGTAGTGTGAGAGATGCCCGGCAGGTGTTCGACGCGATCGACAGGCCCAACGTTGTGGCTTTCAACATCATGCTCGCGACATATGCCCAGAACGGGTATCTCGACGACGCGCGGCTCTTCTTCGACAAAATGCCACAGCGCAACGTGGTCTCTTGGAACGCGTTGGTATCGGCCCAAGCGCAGAATGGGTTCTTGGAAGAGGCACGGAGAACGTTTAGCAGGATGCCGAGCAAAGACGTGGCTTCGTGGAACATTATGATCACGGCAGCTGCCAGGGATGGCGATCTCAAACTCGCCAAGCAGATGTTTGACGGGCTCCAGGCTCCAAACCAAGTCTCGTGGAACGCGATGATCAGCGCGTACGTGAAGAACGGGGATCTCAAAGATGCGAGAGAGCTCTTTGAGAGAATGCCTTCGTCTCAACGCAATGCCATCACTTGGACAACGATGGTGATGGCGTATGCCCGGGCTGGATATATGCAACAAGCCCGTGGCCTATTTGATCGGCTAGCGGAGGAAGAAGAAGAAGAAGATCATGGTCCTCCTCCAGAGCTATGGAACTTCATGATCACTGCTTACTCACGAAGATCCCAGCTTCAAGATGCCAAGGAGCTCTTCGACAAGATGCCGCGACGTGATCGAGTGTCCTGGAGAGCTATGGTTTCAGCGTATGCAGAGTCGGGGTATCCTTCTAAAGCACTACGCTTGCTAAGCACCACACCATTCGAGGAAGATCTGGTCTGCCAGACAGCGATCATCGTTGGATATGGTCGTGTCGGGGATCTGGAGGCAGCAAGGAAGCTATTTGACAAGATCCCCAACCGAGACACCATCTTGTGGAACGCCATAGTCATTGCGGCTGCTCACTGCGGGGACTTCCAGACAGCGCGTCACTACTTCCAGCAGACACCCGACAAGAATGTCCAGTCATGGAACGGCATGATAAGTTGTCTCGCACAACACAACAGGCTCGATCAAGCCAGGGATGCCTTCGACCAAATGCCGCATCGAGACGTGGTCTCGTGGACTGTGATGCTCACTGCTTACTCCCAGAGCGGCTACCACAGAGAACCGTTCCTCCTCTTTCGACTCATGGACTTGGAAGGCATGGATCCCGACGCTGTGGCTCTGGCCTGTGCTTTCGATGCCTGTGCGAGCTTCTCGAGCAGCAGGGAAGGGAGAGATCTTCACGGCTCCATCAGCGGCAGCAAGCTCGAGAAGGATTTGCTGGTTGCAAATGCGATGATCAACATGTATGGTAAGTTCGGGCTCCTCGGTCGCGCAGAGGTGGTGTTTGAGCGAATGAACAACGCCGATGCCGTGTCATGGAACGCTATGATCACAGCTTTCGCTCAGAACGGGCTGTGGAGAGACGCCGAGCGGTGCTACTCAAAGATGCAGTGCGAGGGGCTCCAGCCGGATGGAATCACTTTCCTGGCGCTTCTCTCTGCGAGCGTTCACGCAGGGAGCTTGTCCAGTGCTTGGTGCTACTTTGTGGCGATGGAGCTCGACTACGAGCTTGTGGCGACTGCGGAGCACTTCAAGTGCATGGTGGATCTGCTAGGACGGTCGGGAAGAGTGGAGGAGGCCGAGGAGCTTGCCGCCTCCATGCCATTTCATCCTAACGTTGAGGAGTGGACGTCCATACTTAATGCACGAAAGATCCATGGAGCTAAGAATGTAAGTATTAAAGTTGCTCAAAATTTACATCAGTTGGATCCTTGCAGTCCCCTCCCATATATTTTAGGATAGAAGAGAAAGTACCACACAGGGAACACAAGGATGGATCTTCCAAGTTTTTCCAAGTTCCTGGAATTTGGAAAAGTTCTTCCATGATATCATCTTTGTTGTCTATGTTGATAAAACTCACAAGCTTTTAAGCTCGATCTCAATTGTACAAAGTAACATAGATATCATTCATTTTATACAAATCACCTTCATTTATTTATAGAATGCCCGCTACTCATCTTCGTCAGAGCTTTGGTACGCTAAACCCAGCAAACCAATGTCGCCATCTTTAGCTTCTGTAGTGGATTGTGGCTGCAAAGTAGTAGGAGCTGCTGGACTCGGCGATCGTGCTTCAACACGATCATTCGTCGCAGGGCCAGCAACACGAACTCTCTTCGGCTTTACTTCCACAATGCTCTTAAGTAGATCCTGTTGCCTACAAGAGCCAAGTCACAAAAAGAACCACGCTTGAACTTAACCAGTACCGGATTCCACTCCTTGGCTTGGGCTCTACACGGATTGCAGGGAACGCCGGAGCTTGAGAAGCGTCCACTAAGCTGGCCGCTTTGTGCTGGAAAACTCGCGTCAAGGAGATCAATCACGGAAAAAGAGATAGCCGTCTCAAAAGTGTGAAGGATATCTTAAACGCATCAAACGCCTTCTTCTCTGATCTCCTCCTCACCCTCTCGGCATCCTCCTCGGCTTCCATCTGTTCTTTGAGGTAGAGAAGATCATCGCTGTCAAGAGCTGCAAAGAACCTCCCAGGAAAACGTGAGAAAACCAAGAAAAAAAACGAGCTTTTCCTAGAGAAATGCAAGGAATTCAAAAACTAAGTGAAGAACAGTACCGCCTCGTCCATGCAAATACCCTCCGCGTTCCCCTGCTACCTCTTGCATCTGTTTCGCAGCGCCAATATCCCTGTCAGGGCAAGTTCTCAGTAACATCGCTCGACTGGAAGCGAAAAAATAGAAGCTTAAAACCAGTATGGCCGGTTCACTAACCCTGGCGACCATCTTCTTGAACGCCGCATCTTCATCATCTATCTTGTCTCTCAAACCCTTGGAATACCATCTCTTATCTGCAAGAAATCGAAAATTCAGCCCACATTCCACCCCAAATCCCTTATTCTAGCAGCGAATTCGGATGTAGCAGGAAATTTTTTGGAGATCTTACCTCGCGAATCGCTGAGATTGGTGTACTCCCTCACCTCTCGCCCCGCCATAGCCACGCCCGGGGCAAAGCTATCTTTCTTTGTTTTTTAAAAAACCCTAGCCCTAATTGACTGACGGAAACTGCTATGACACGTCGGATTTGCGTTAACGGACGCGCCCGTTTAAATGGCTTAAACTTAAACCCGAAATAGGGCTATTTGGTTTGATATGTGAGGGAAGAGATTTTGGAACTTCTTTTACTCGTTTCTTGGCGCTGGGCAGGGCTGGGCGGGCGGCGGCGCTGTTCGTCACGGCCATGGGCTCCATTGTGACGCGATTGATCCTGTAAGTCTCGATTTCCTTCGTGATTCTCGAGTGACAATCGCTTTCTTGGCGATGTTTTTCTTGTAGAATGGTTGTCGGCTATGCCTATCCCGCTTACGAGTGCTTCAAAGGCGTCGAAAAGAGCCGTCCAGACATTGATGCTCTTCGATTCTGGTGCCAGTACTGGTAATGCGTGACTTTTCCCTTTCCTATCCTTGTTGGAGAGAAGAACACTGTTTGTTTTGTTCATTTCTTTGCCTCGATCAGGATGATCATCGCGGTTTTGACGATATTTGAGCGCATCGGGGACACTTTCATCTCTTGGTACGAGCTTACTCTTCCATTTCTTTCTTTTTTTCTTCTTAAGAGCAAGAACTTATTAAGCTTGTTTCTCCAGGTTTCCAATGTACAACGAAGCAAAGGTCGCATTTATCATCTATCTGTGGTATCCCAAAACAAAGGTCTGGTACTTTCTTAGTTGTTCTTTCAAGGGATGATAACCAGCACTCGTTGTTCCAGGGGGCCACCTACATATACATGACGTTCCTGAAACCATACGTCTCTTTCCACGAGCCAACGATCGATCGCCACCTGAACGAGTTGAAGACTCGGGCAGGGGATTTGGCTTACAATTACTGGCAGAGAGCTGCGATGTACGTGCAAGCCAGGTTCTTGGAGCTCCTTCACTACGTGGCTTCGCAAACTCCGAACCCTCCCGTCGTAACTCAGGTACGCTTTGTTACGTTTTTCTTCATTTCGAGTGTTAAGCTAGCAGAAACGCGTCCTTTAACCCCGTTTCTTTGCCACTCTCGAACTTCTTCTATAGGAAAGTAGACCTGGCTGGCTGAGACGCTCCTTCACCCTTGCCTCGAACTATGGCTACACAACCGTAGCAAACTATGTGGCCGTCACTGAACCCTCAGATGGCTCACAACTTCCCGTCCATCCTGATGCACAGGCATCGTTCAATCCACCACACCCGCATCCAAACAGCAATCCACACCCTCCTGTCAAGACCAACTAAAAGCTTCTTCAAACTTGAAAACGAAACTCCGAGTCCTTTTTGTGAGCCAAAGCCTCCTTCCTCTTTTTCGTACTTCTTCCCGAGCCTTATCCTCTCGACTCCCATCGCCGAGCTTTGTTAACCAAAGTAGAGCTTTGCTTTCTCGTTTTCTCTCTTCGTTTCTCGGGTCTTCTGTTTGTAATGGCCTTCTTTGTTTTTCTCGCAGAATGTGACAACCAGGGATCAACCTCCTGCTGGTGGCCAGATTGTCGAAGAAGAGGACTATCACCTTGTTAATGAGGCCGAGGCACTGGAGGAGGTCCCAGAGGGTTATCGCGAGCCACTTGTCAACAGGAGAAGAGCCGCCAATGTGTGGTGAGACTTTTCCAAGCCTCCTCCTCTCGAAAAAAAAAAACTCGTACAAATAAGCCAGAGCCTGCGGTGTGATCGATCATACACTTCGTCCCAATAGATGGTACGTGTAGATAGATTCCATCTCTCTGTTATCTAACTCTCGTGCTTCCAGTTTTTCGAAAGGGCATGTATATATTCATATTTGTTGTGGAAGAAGAAGAAGATATAGTCTCGAGAGACTTGGCGTGAAATAAAAGAGTGGAGCGTTACAATACCTCTTGCGATCACCGAGCGAGAGAGAGCTTGGAGTAAGCTTAAAAGGTGCCTTGCTTGATGGCGTCTTCGTTGGCATCGCCCAAGGCGGCCTCGGACATGTACTTCTCGGCGAGTTGGACCCTCTTGACGTTCTCTTGCTCCTTGACGAGCATGTATCCGTACGACATGAGCTTGTTGATGGTCATGGCCGGCTTGGCAAACGTTGGTGGCCCGTCCCTTGAGTTGACGAGCTTGGATCCAATGTTCTCCACGCCGGTGGATTCGATCCACTTCCGGACCTCGTCATCGTACACTCTTGCTCTTAGAGCACCGAAGAAATCTGCGAAAGACGAAACGAAAAAAGGAGTGAGAACTTGCGGAGTGTCTATCGAGAGAAGTTCCGCGTACCGATGGATTGGCCTGGGAATGCATCCACAAGCTTCACCATGTCGTCCTCGGCGATCCCATCCGTGCGGAAGATCCCCTTGCAAACTCCTATCCTGTCCTCGCGGGTTGGCGCCCAGTAGTACTTCTCCATACGACCATCTCGGATGAGCGGCGCGTAGAGCGTGGAGAAGTCGTTTCCTGTGACGATGATTGGAACTCGGGGGATCTCCTCCTTGTTGTAGATTCCAGGGAGCTGGACGTTGGTCGGATTGTCAGCGATGTTCATGAGCGTTGCGTTCACCATCTGGTTGTTGACGGTGTACTGGGTGGTGCCACCCATTCGTCCAGCACCGGCATCCAGATCGTTGATGAAGAGGCAGCACATCTTTCCTTTCTTCTTGATGATATCCGCAGCCTCGCGGTATCTCTGCCGGATGAGTTTAGCAGGCTCTCCTGCATTTCCACTCTCGAGTTCTCCAGCACTCATCATAATCGGGCTGCCAGCAAAAACATGAGAATCAATGACTTGAACAAACAATGAACAAACAATGAACTTACTTGACACCAAGCTTGGAAAATACGAGCTCGCACTGGAATGACTTCCCCTGACCTTTGCCTCCCCAGATTCCAAGAATGAGTGGCACCTGGGACATTGTATCGCATCCATTTAGGAAAAACTTCAAAAAACTTGTAAATTAGCTTGCCTTGATGTTTGGAAGTGACATGAAGTTCTTGGCAATATGGATCATCAGCTTCTCCATGAACGCGGGTGCGATGTAAAAGCCGTCCTTGGTGTTGTCAAAAGCAAAGCTGGACGAATTCCATTCACAACATCATCAATGGATCAGGAAAAATAAAAAAACGAGCAACTTTGACGTAGAAGAAGAAGCTTACTTGCGCTGGGCCGTGCTGATGTACTCGTAGCTACTCATGATAGCAGTCTGGGTTCCCATTCCCATGGCTCCTTGGTAGAGAGTGTCCACCATTCCCTTGCCACGAGTAATGTCCTGCTGGTCGTCCGAGATATCGGTCGCCAAGCCCCCCCATCTATCTTTCGCCGACTGCTTTGTTTCGTCCTCTGTGCTCGAAGACTCGCAAACCACCCGGCTATGTCCCATAGCATGCGAGAGCGATGCTTGGAACGCATTCTTCCTTTTCAGGTTGAGGCCGAGAAACTGGGAATTGAGACAGGCCACCTTGGATGAGGATTTCTGCGCTGGTAAGCTCACAGCCTGTGAGAAAGGAACAAGACAGGTCAGTGAATTCTCGATCGCGAGCAAGAATGCGCTGGATCTAATCAATGCGTTGTGGAGACGACAAAACACGATGCATTATCAACGAAACGAAATCAGGAAAGATTTCGCGATCGATCGATACGTGATATTTCGAGCAAGAGGAACAATTCTTGAAGAAAGTGTGCCGAGAATCGATCGATGCCTCGCATTGCAGCGATGGAAATGTAGCAATCTAGCGCCAGGAGCAAGAATCCATGGATGCGATCCAGAGGAGAGATTATACCTGAGCAACGGGGACCGCCTGGAGAGACGACGCCATTGCGAGCGAGCGAGGGAGAGCGCTGGGAGAGCTAGGTATTGCGAGAGGGGGAGTGGCGCTTCTTCTAGACACAAGATAAAAACACAATCGCGTGGTTCTCAGGCACACATTGTGCAAACCGCGCAGCAAAACCGCGCGGCTGGATCACGCGGCGCACACGTGGCACTATTCTCAGGCCAGGAAGGGTGGAGAACACACGCCAGGTGGCATGCGCACAATGGCTGCAAATTAAATATTGATTCCCCTCCAATATTCCACTTCTCGACCACGAATTTGCGTTATCGGATTAGATTGACACAAAGCAAAACAAAACCTCGTCTTAAGAGCTTAAGCACCTGGGCTACATTGTTTATTTCTCGAGCTCTCTCTTCGTTTTACTCCACCTTGCGCCAGTTCCTTCGAGAAATAGGGTTCATCACGACTGGATTCTCCGACGCCGTGCGCGGCCAGCCCTCATCGTACCTCCTCTCCGTCTCGGCGATCCACTCGGGCGTCATGGTGCGCGGAGTGGTGCCTGCCACAGAGAATCGAATGCGCGTTCCAGGGAGAATTAGGGCGGGGAGAAATTTCACTTGCCTCCAAAGATCTTGCGATTGGAGATGAGATCCTGGCAAACGTAGGCAAAGACGAAGGAGCCCAGCACGGCGGGCACGGCCTTCATCGGGAACATAGGCCCCGAAGGGCGGAACGATCGGATCACTCGCGATGCGTCCTGCGACATACCTGATAAACCCTAAAAGATGGGAGGGCGATTAGCGGCGCCGCCGCTTTAAAAACTAAAGGGGCAAACGAAAATAAGCGGCGCCGCTTAAAGCTAGCGAATATTCGTCTCATCAGTTATTCAAGAACCCTATAAATGGTCGCGTGAATCAATCGAGTTTTGGGGGGAGAATGGCGGACGAGAAGCCGCCGCCGCCCCCGGCGAGGCGATTGAGCCTGCTTGAGCGGAGCAGCAGGCCCGACGTCCCGAAATTCAGGTACTCCTCTCCAGTTCTCCCCGCCGCGCCGCCGCCGAGGAAGCGCGTAAGCTTTGCCGAATCGGAGGATGTGAGGATCTTCGAGGCGGACAGGGAGCCCGTCGTCCAGCAGCCGATGATCTGGTTCTCGAGCTTTAGTCCGATCGCTGACGCTGGCAGCCGACCGGATGAATCGAGCGAGCAGGCGAAAGGCAGCGATCAGCCCTCGACGAGCGGCGGCGGCGGCGGCGCTGTTGTTGAGATTAAGAGGAGGTCTTCGTTGCTGGACAAGCCACCGGCGGCGAAAGAAGAGGTCTTGAAGAAGGATTGGCATGTCGAGCACGGCCAAGACCATGCCGAGGAGTGGTCGCAAATCTCCATGGCAGCGCAGAAGAAAGTCCATGAATCTACGAGGAAGAGGTCTAAGCGAAGCTCACGACCGATTCCAATCGGCAGCGCGGAGCAAGCTCTCGTTCCAGTGAGTGCTGCCACCGCCATGCCGTCTGCGTCGACTTCCACTGCCATAGTTGTTAGTGGAGGAGCTCCACAGCCGGAGGTGGCCGAGAAGAAGAAGAAAACGAAGAAAAAGAAGAAGAAGAAGAAGAAAAAGACGAAGAAGAAGAAGAAGAAAGTGAAGCAGATGAGCGTCATGGCGTTCTTGAGAGGAACTATCAAGAGAGGTAGCAAGGCCAAAGTCGAGAGAGCTCTCAAGAGGATGATGAGACGCATCGTGACCAAAGTGAAGCGCAAGCGCGATCGAATGAAGGCGGACAAAGATGTGGACATGGTGAAGATCCGGAGGGGATTTAAGCGAGGGAGGAGGAAGAAGAAGTTCTACACGGTGAAGAAGATTCGGGGGCGTAACTTTGGATTAAAATCCTTGCTCAAGCAGTGGAAGTGGGTTTTCATCTTCTCGTAAGAGATTAGAACTTGCAAGGTAAGGTTTTCTCTGTGCTCTTTTATCTTTAGAGTTAATTGTCTACGATGCAGTTTGGAACTTCTTCGAGCGCACCCAGGGAAAAGCCTTGATGGTATTGTGGCTTGCTTTTAGTGCTATAAACTGTTGATGTTCTTCTTTTCCAGACTACGGTGAGACGCCATCCTTATTCACAAGTACGTAACTCCCATTACAAGTTACAAGCTGCTAGAGTTTCTTATAGATTTTTTGTCAGGGTGATACCATTTTTTGAGTTCTTTCACGATAGTGTTTTCCAATTGCTGGTAAGTGTTTTCGTTTAAGTAACCGCATCGTCACGGTCCTTGAGAAGATTTCAAATGGCACTGCACTCAATCAAGCTGCCAAAGAGGCAAGATATTTCGTCCGAGATGAATGCAGCAAAGCTAACCAGTACTTGCGAGTTCGAAAGCCATCCTTGAGGTCTGTAAAGAAATTTGCATTGTTCTTTTCTAGGAGCATTACAAGAAGAACTAAAACCTTTCATTACCTTCGCATGGTCAGGGGCCCTGTGATGCAAGTCGCCACACACTTTTGTGTGCCTCTCTCGGCCTTGGGAAAGATTGGTCTTTGGATCCTGGCCGCTTTCTCGGAGCCTGAGCGTTTAAAACCCGACCGGGAATGAGCACTCGATACAGGCAAGCTGAAAAATTGCTTCTTTTTTTTTCTCATTGACAACCCGTGGACTGCCGCTCCAGCTCGCGATCTACATCTGGCGAGGTACGTGCACGCTGCGAATTTTTTCATGCAAGAAGTTGGCAGGAGGCTGGAATCTGACGGCTCGGAAGCGGAATAAGTAAACTGGAATTTTATTCCCTTTTTAATTCAGAATATCTGTGGTGGATATTCCAGTCTGTAACTGTCACCGGCGTTCTTGGATCTAAGTGCTCGGAGAGAGGGGCGATAGGAATCGGCTACTTTTTGGCTCGTTTAGGCAGGAGAATGAGTATTAAGACAGTCCAGGTAGGGGATGAGGTGTTGAGGAAGGGGCCATGGATGCCCGAAGAGGACGAGATATTGGTAGAGTATGTACGTCAATATGGGCCTCGGGATTGGAGCTCCATTCGTTCCAAAGGCCTCCTCCCACGCACTGGGAAATCCTGCCGCTTGCGCTGGGTCAACAAGCTCAAGCCCGACTTGAAAAGGTTTTCCATTCTTTCATTCCGTGCTCATGGAAAGATCACACACACACACACACACACACACACACATATAATATGTATATAAGCTTTGAATGTGATTTTTCTTTTGTCTCAGAAGTGGGTGTAAATTCTCCCCCGAAGAAGAAAAGCTTGTGGTGGAAATGCAATCGAAACTTGGCAACAAGTGGGCCAAGATCGCGTCGTGCCTTCCAGGACGCACCGATAACGATGTCAAGAACTTTTGGAGCACCAGGCAAAAGCGACTCCTCAGGGCGCTCCAGCGGCCAAAGACGCCGTCCGGGAAAGGCGATTGCTCCAGCCTCGACTTGCATGACATGAACAAAGAGCCCCTCAACGAGTTCTCTGCGTTCCAGGTAGAAGCAAACCACTTGTAACTTGATCTAGGAACACAAATAAAAAGAGTGGAAAAAGCTTTGCTTCTTTTCTTCTTTTTTGCCGCTACCAAAATGTTTTTTTTTTTTTTCCTTCACACAAACACAGGTCCCAAGTCCTTCGTGCTCTCCCACGCTGTTGTCATCACCCTTTCAGAGTTTTGGCCCGCCTCTCTTCTTCGGGAACGAAGAGGAGGACAACACCTTCAAGGGGCAATCTGATGAGTGGAAACCAAGTAGGCAGAGTTTGCAAGCCTTTGGTGACTTGGAAGACATGGAAGATGTCTTGACTGCAAAGTTGCCGGACATTGGGCCACCCGACTATCCGTTTCCGGATACAGATTTCTCAAACTCGAATGCTGCGGCAGTGGCAGCAGCAGCAGCAGCAGCAGCCACAACTGGCACCCCTCCAGCTCAACACCAACATCAGCAAGATCAACAACAGCAGCAGCAAGGTGGTGCTACCTTTTGTTGTAGTGACCTTTCGGGATTTTTGGCTGGCAGTCCACCGCAATGGGAGAAGCTGCCGCTCTTGTGCCTTGATCCAGATGCGTGCATAAAAGAGGAAGGAGACTCCATCAGTCCCGACAGCGTGCTCTCTGGCTTCCCGGCTGATGTGTTTGATTCACTTGCACCCAGGTTTGGTCCTGCAAAGTTTGTCAGTATGTTTAGTCTAGTCGAGTGACTTCGTCTCCAAGCTCTAGTAGTAGACTAGTAGTAATTTTTTATATGAGCAAAGCTCTCTTCATGGATCATGAGTAGTAGTATTCTTTGCGAGCCGAGCCTAGAGCTCATTAGAGCTCACTTTCAGAACGGTTCAAGTTGAAGAGGATGCATGTACCAGACAACGCGAGCAGCTCGCACTCACAAAGCAGCCACGAAATTTTTCTTACTGGCCATGCTTCAACATGGATTTGGAATCTGGATCTACGCTGCAAGACTTGACGTTCCTCTTGTTCCTTTTTCGCGTCGGGATGCACATCTACTGGTTGTCAGCGGGTATGCGATCTTCATGAAAGCTCGATTCTTCTCTCGCAGGTAATGGAGGAAGCCTGGCTATATTTTCGTTTCGCTGTATGGTGGATCTTCGATCGGGATAGGTAAGTTTTCGGATTTCTTATATTTTTTCTCTCTTGAAGTCTTAAGTGATTCTACCGGCTCGGGAGTACACACGTTCGTGCTCTACCACATTGCCATGTTCACGCTCAAAGACACCTCTGTGGTCGCGACGACTTAAAAAGTCCGCTCCATACGACACACCACATTTTGAAACGAGCGCCTCCTGTACGAGCATTGGCCTCAGTTTCCCGGACTTGCATCTGAGCTCCTTCGACCGACGAACGACAACGACGACGATATCATAGTGGTATGGATCAAGAAGAAACCATCGAAGCTCTGGCACAAGCAAATTTAGAGCCGGGTATAGGTACCTGCTCGTCAAGGCCAACACCGAGCTAGCGAGAGGAGCAGCACTAGACCCGCCGATTCTTCTTCCAGCCGGAGCAGCGCAGCAGCCCAACATCGTGGAGCTCGAATTTATCTGTACCAAAGTTCAATGCTCGCAAGAAAGGAAAAAAAACGCCATGAGGCGCACGAGGATCTTTTTACTGCATTAAAAACAGGTAAACAAACAAAAAAGGAAGTATTGAAAGATGCAGAGCAAAAAATGGCACATTTATGAATTGTCTACAAACACTCGAACAAACTCGTGAATCACAAAGCGAAAATAGCAATCGAATCTCTTTTCTGATACTTGTACATGAGATTTACGCTTGGTCTGCAGCACCACCATCATTGTCAATTTATTGTCATGCACCTTTCTCTTTTGCTAAAATTATTCCCCTATCGAGCTCTTGCTTCCACCTCAGGGACTTGAGCAAAAGTTTCTTCTCTTGCCAATGGACATGTCCAGCTTCCATGGTACAGCATGTCTTTGTTAATCTAAGCCCAAAAAAATAGTTAATCAATAACAGTGCATTAGCAAGAGAAATTGCCTATGATATGGAGGTTTTATGTAATCCAAAAGACTAAAAGAGGTCTATAAAAATAAAATAAGTTTTAAACAAATGAGTATACAATCAAGACTAATTCTTTAACGTTATTATCCTTATTACACTTTTAAAACCTTGCAGCCCCTCCCTTGGGGGACAATTGCTTTGGGTTTTTACCTTATGACTTGTATTAATACTTAATTGTGGTCTCTCATTCAACCTCAAACTCTAATCTTATTTTTGGTTTGTTTAAGCAAATATGTAAAGGGACTGAGATGGTAGTGGATATACCTAAAATATATTTGGATATTTTAGAATATTTTACCATCTAATGGTTTTTATTCGTTTAGATTAATTTTGTATTTATAATTTATAAACTTTTTTAAACCCTTTCTAGTATATTCTTTTTTATTCTATCATCTAATGCAATAAGATTAATCTTGTATTTATAAATTACAAACATGCTTATAATTACAAATTTTATTTGATCAATTGGATTAATAAGTAAGAATAACATTACTATTAAGCAAACTAAATGCTGCTATGCATAGCAATTTATTATATGTTTTGCAATTTATTAATATCAACCAAAAATCAATAAAGTACATAACTATATTCAAGACTGTAGACGCTAACAAGCAGAATTTGGTAAGAATCTAGTATTATCTTGTGACCACTCACTGTGTTCATGGAGCAAATCAAGAGCAGCGCAAGGCAAATGTCATGAAGAAGAAAAAGAAAGGATCTTCGCTGATCGATCTCTGGCTGAGTCTCGGCCAAAGGTCAAAGTCGAGAGAGCTCTCAAGAGGATGATGAGACACATCGTGATGAAGTGAAGCACAAGCACAATGGGGGCAAAGATGGAGATGGTGAAGATCGGATTAAAGAGGAGCAAGGAGAACATGATGATAAAGATGAATTCATGGGTGTGACTTAGGATTAAAATTCAGCAGTGGTCTTCCTGTTCTAGAAGCAGGTTTTCTAGAAGGAGGTTTTCCCTGTGCTCTTCATCTTCCAGTTCTATGAAGCAGATTGGCACGGGGATCTTAGAAAGAAAATTCTTCAAGACTAATGACGAGTACTACTGTACTTGTCATTGCAAGTACATTACAACTTGATAGAATTTTTTGTCAAGGTGATTTTTTGTTCATTTTTCAGTTATTTCACGATAGTGTTTTCGTACAAGTAACCAGTTTTCGGAGGATTTCCTCAGGTCGGGCAACTAAAAATCGAAAAACTTTGATGTATTTATAAGCTGTTAACATAGTCTACATTTCTACCTTTTGTACCAGCTTCTACTGATTCATCATGGGCCATCGTCACGGTCCTTGAGAAGATTACAAATGTCACTACACTCAACCAAGCTGGCAAAGAGGCAAAAAATCGAAATCGAGAGCTCAACGTAGCAAAGCTTACCAGTACTTGCGAGTTCGAAAGCCATCCTTGAAGACAACCAGAGGTCTGTAAGGAAACACAGTTCTTTCGTAGGATCACTAGATAAGAACTAAAATCGTGCATTACCTTCTGATGTTTAGGGGCCCTTCTCCCGGTCCTCCAGCTCCTCCTGCGATGCAAGTCGACACACACTTTTGTGTGCATCTCTCGGCCTTGGGAGAGATTGGTCTTTGGATCCTGGCCGCTTTCTCCGAGCCTAAGCGTTTAAAACCCGACTGGGAATGAGCACTCGATACAGGCAAGCTGAAAGATTGCTTTTCTCATTGACAACCTTGAATGTCCCGAGGAACGTTGTTGTAAGTGTCTTTTTCCGAGATCTCAGCAAGAGCGCTAGAACAACACAGTGTTGTTACCATGGCAAAGAGGCAAACGCCAGTGGCCACTCCACGCTTGGATACTACTGCTAATTCTCCATCCTTGCGAGCTATCAAAGATTTAGAACTTACTGGAGAATGGAGCTCAGCCTTCTTACTCTTGCGAAACAAAGGTCCTAGAGAGGTAAGCGAAAGACACTGTGCCATGGCCATTAGCCATCCAGTTCTCTCGGCAGGACACGTGTCAGCATCTTATTTGAAGGGTTTGACAGATGTCAGGCTTCCATTCGTCTAACTAGCCGTTTAAAAATCACTTTGAAAATGCCGAGCATTTTGCCCTAGCGTTGAATGGGGCGATGGCGGAAGAAGCCCCAAATGGTGCTTTGCGCTGCGCTTGGAAGGGGCCACATGATCCCGATGATGGGCCTCGCTCGATCGCTAGCTTCTACAGGTGAAATATCGGTCACAGTCGTCTTCCAGAACGCTGGAGCTCGGAATTCCATCCAGGAAGCAACATTCTTCTCAGGGCTGGACGTGGAGCTCGCTGTCTTAGACGCGGCTAATCTGTGCGAGGATCCGCCATGGCTGACTGGCGGATCCGTCAGCGCAAGGATGCACAAGGATCGATCGCGGCGATCGCCTAAGGCAGCAGCAGGTTCCATGGATCCAGAATCGGCGCTTCGAGAGCTCCTCGCAGATCTTCTCGCCTCTCCATCGCCTCCGGTCTGCCTTGTGGCCGATTTCTCGCTGCCGTGGACTGCCGCTCCAGCTCGCGATCTAGATCTGGCGAGGTATGTGCTCTACACGGACCCTGCGAATTTCATGGCTGTGGCGTATTTTTGCAAGAAGCTCGTGGAGATGGCGATCTTGCCAGCCAAAGATCCCCGCGAGAAGAAGATCGCTGTTCCTGGCGTCCCGGATCTCTCCCAGCACGATATTTCGCAGTATATATGGGATTCCAGGGACCAATATCATCCCCGGGTAGAACTCTGGCACCGAAAAACTGTGGAATCCGACGGTGTGCTACTCAACACTTTCTACGAGCTCGAATCTTCGGCCGTCGATGCGCTTCGAGAAGAGATTCTCCCCGGGACGAGCTTGTTCACTGTTGGGCCGCTCATAGTGACTGGCTTTTCCGGCTCGGAAAGTGATAGCAGATGTGCGGTGTACGGGGCCGAGAAGAATGCGTGCATGGAGTGGCTGGATTCCAAACCGGAATCCTCTGTTCTCTACGTGAGCTTCGGCAGCTGGGAGGTTCTGGTGGACGATCAGATAACGGAGCTTGCGCAAGCATTAGAATCCAGCGGCTGTTTCTTCCTGTGGGTGGTGAGGCTCGCTCCAGGATCCAGCATTGGGAGCTTGCTGCCACAGGGATTCGAGAGCAGGGTGATCGCCCCTGGACGTGGTTTGATCGTCACGACTTGGGCGCCTCAACAGGAGATTCTCAAGCACCAGGCAACTGGGGGATTTGTGACACACTGCGGCTGGAATTCCGTGCTGGAGTGCGTTTGCTTGGCGGGTGTGCCAATGGTTTGCTGGCCTTTGATCTCGGATCAACCGACGACGTGCCGGTTTGTGGTGGACGGGCTTAGAATCGGAGTCGAGATCCACGAGGATGCGAGTGGTTTCGTGGATAGGGGGGAGATTGAGAATGCCGTAAAGATGGTGATGGTGGAAGGCGCTGAGATGCGGCGCATTGCCGGGGAGTATAAGAGACTAGCAGCGATTGCCGCTAGCGAGGAGGGGAGCTCGAGCATCAGCTTAAGAGAATTCATGGACAAGGCACTCAAGGGACGAAGTTATGTCCCTTGCAACTCCGGGAACTCTACGTGATCATCATGGTTAGCAGTCACTGGCAGTAGATGCTAGCGAGCAGAATTTGGTGACTACTGTCTCTAGGATCGAGCTCGAAGCCACGCTCAGCGCAGTACTTGGCACCGCGAACACGACCATGGCTTTTGTAAGCTGCCAGCAACGTAGCCCAAGCCACAGGAGAGTCTTGTAGCACCGGAAGACTGTGAACGAGCTCCTCGGCGATTGACAAGAATCCCGATCGCGCAGTAACGTCGACCATGCAGCACAGATGCTCCAGCCGCGGCGTCACGCCTTGCTCTTGCATCAGATGAAGGTAGCAACGAGCTTCAGCAACAAGGCCGGCATGGCTGCAAGCTTTTACGAGAGCCGAGTACGTTATCTCATCAGTTTCCACGCTCTCCATCCTCATCGTATGGAACAGTTCCTTGCAGCGCTCGACCCGCCCGAAGCGTCCACAGGCCGTCACCAACACGTTCCAGCACGCGTTGCTAGTGTGGAGAACGTCGTGAGGTAGTGCCTTGAAAAGCTCTTCTGCTCCATCGCTGACGCGAGTCTCTGTGCAGGAAAACTCGTACTCGCAATGAGCTTGCAGCAAAGCAGTCCAGGAAACAACGTCCGGGTAGAGAATGCCGTCGAAGGTGATCTTCGCAAGCTCTGTGTGCCCGTTGCGAGCGTGCATCGAGAGAAGAATGTTGGAGAGCAGCACGTCTAGTTCAGGCAGTCGAGAAAGAAAATCGAGCGCGTGAGAGGAATGCCCCTGTTGAGCATACATTTGCAGCATCGACGCCCAAGGCACCGTCAACCAGCACGGCATCGCGTCAAACACCAGCTTTGCTTCTTCCAAATACCCGGCTTTGGCGAATCCATCGAGCAGGCAAGTGTAAGTCACTAGATTTCGTGCAGGCATCTGATCAAACAAGCTCTTTGCCTTGTCCAGGAAGCCATGGTTTCGTACGTAAGCGAAGATCATGGTGTTCCAAGAGATGATGTCCCGTACGCCAGCCATGGCGTCGAACAAAGCTCTGGCCTTGTCTACAAGGACACGGGACTGGCTATACGCCGAGAGAAGGATGTTCCACGACGCTACGCTTCGCTCCGGCATTCTCACGAAGAGATCCTCGGCGTCTTCCAGGTACGAAAGCTTTGCATAAGCTGAGATCATCGAGTTCCAGGAGACGACGTTGCGCTCGAGCATGGAGTCGAAAATCCGTCTGGCATCCGAGAGATGACCGTGCTGGGCATGCGCTTGGAGCATGGCTGTCCAGGACACGACGTTCCACTCGGGCATTCTCTCAAACGTCGCCTGCGCTCCCTCGAGATGCCCATTTACGGCATAAGCCTGGAGAAGGATCGTCCACGAGTAGACATTTGGGCGAGCGATGGTGTGGAAATGCGACACCGCCCGCTCCAAGTTGGCGCTCTGGCCATACAAATCAATCCTCAAGTTTGCCTCCAGTATGCTGCTTTGTGAATCTTGGAACTCACCTTTGTGTTCTTGATGATAGACCACGAAGAAGAACGTAGCAATGTTACAAGAACAGCAATGCATCGCGCTCGTCAAGTCTTGCACCACTCTATCCCAGCTCCAAGGCGTTCACAGCTCGTCCATTCCGGATCCTTGCTCCACCATTCTCTCCAACGTTTTGATCCAAATCTATGGCCGCCTCGGCAGCGTGGAGCAAGCCCGCCGTGTCTTCGACACGATGCACTCCCGCGACAGCTTCTCCTGGAACGTTATGCTCGTGGCATATTCGCGAAACGGGCATCTCGAATATGCCAAGGCCGTGTTTGATGCCAACCCACGCCCGGACTTTGTTTCGTGGACCTCGATAGTTAGCACTTACAGCAGCCGGGGAATGTTGCAAGATGCTCGGAATCTGTTTGACAAGATGCCCCTGAGGAATCTCGTCTCGTGGAACGCGATGCTTGCGGCATATGCCAAGGAAGGGCACGTCACCGAGACCAAAACCCTATTTCACAACATGCCTTTGCAAAACTTGATCTCGTGGACGATAGTTTTAAGTGTTCTTAGCCAGGCATTGCTTTTAGAGGAAGCTGAGAGGATATACCTCGCGATGCCCGAGAGAGATGCGGTATCGACGACCGTGATGCTTGAAGCAAATGCCCAACACGGGCATTTTGCGAAAGTGAACACTATCTTTGACGATATGGCGATTCACGATCTCGTTTCATGGAACGCGTTGCTCAGTGCTTATGCCAAGTATGGCAGCAACCCTTTACATCAGTGCAAGGAACTTTTCTATAAAATGCCCTGTTGGAACCTTGTGTCGTGGAATGCGATGCTGCTGGCCTTTGCAGGCATTGATCTCAAAGCCGCGAAGAACTGGTTTGACAACGAGATGAGCGAGCCGGGAACGAGAGATCTCATCTCCTGGAACATTCTCATGTCTGCCTTTGCAAAACACGGCCTCGTCGACGAAGCAAGCGAAGTCTTCTCCCAAATGCCCGTTTGCGATCAAGTGTCATGGAACTCGCTGCTCTCTGCGTTTGCTCAAAACGGGAGGCTGCCAGAGGCCAAGCAAGCGTTTCACGAAGAAATGCCGGCTTGGGATTCCATCTCGTGGACGATCATGCTGTACGCCTATGCTGCATCAGGCAACGTTGAAGAAGCCAAAGTTTTGTTTGACAAAATGCCACTCAAGAGCCTGATTTCCACAAACCTCCTGCTTTTCGTGTATGCCCAAGCCGGCTATGACGAACAAGCTCGAAAGTTCCTCGACGAAAGCGCTGCCGAGCATAGCTTAGCTTCGTGGACGATGGTTTTGTCCGCGTACGCGCTGAATTCCCAGCTCCGGGATGCCCAAGATCTGTTCGAAAAAATGCCAGAGAAAGATACCGTGGCTTGGACCTCAATGCTCGCTGCAAATGCCACTTCCGGGCAAATGCATCGAGCAAAGAGGCTGTTCGATGCGATGCCCGAGCTGGATCTCGTAGCCTGGACCGTGATGCTGGAAATGCACGCCCAAAACAGCGACCCAGAAGGAGTGCTCGATCTCTCGCGTCAAATGCTGATCCATGGAATCCTCCCGGATAACACTGCCTTTACGTGTATGCTCTTTGGGTGTAGCCATGGCGGCGACGTCGCCGCCGGGCGTTCGAGCTTCCACTCCATGGCGATCGATTTCCACCTGGAAGGCGGGAGGAGGGATTACGGATGTATGATCGATCTGCTGGGCCGCGCCGGATACCTGGAGGATGCGATCGATCTGGTGGAGACGATGCCCTATCCCGCGCGCGTCGATGATTGGATCTGCCTGCTGGGATCGTGTCGAAGGATTAGCGACGCGCGGCGTGCCACTCGCGCTGCCAGCCGCGCCGTGGAGCTCGATCGAGCGGCGGCGCCCTACATTCTCCTGGCAAACAAATTCTCTTTTTCTTTTTAGGGTTCTTGGGAAATTTACACTTCTCTAGCTCTCAATTCTCTTCCAGGAGCTCCATGACCTTCTCGATCGGCACCTCCTCGACCTTCTTGATGACCGTGGTGATCTCGCCGCGCTCCAGAGCCTCGTAGAATTCCCGGACGCGCCGCTTGTAGCTGATGTGGTACATTTTCCAGCAAGAAGCCACTGATCGAGAGGAATTTTCGTGAGAAAGCATTGGCGCGATCGAACTGGGATACCTGAGAGGCCGAGAGCGAGGCCGTAGAAGATCTCCCTTACGATGCTTGGCGGCCTCCTAGCCGTGGCTGCCGCGGCAGTGGCGACTTTAGACGCCATGGATTAGGGTTCTTCGCATTCTCCTCTTTCTAGCTAGGTAGGGCTTGAGGACGACGGCGATGGCGGAAAATTTCGGCCTGGGGATGCTACTGGACATTGTGGACGATGACTGGTTGCGCGATACGCTCCCTGACGACGGTAAGATCGATCTTGTGCTAATCGATTGATCGATATTTCCTTGCCACAGATATTCCATTTCCTCCCGGCGTCGTTCCCCCGACCGATGACATGGAAGAATCGAGTATGATTTCTCTCCTCTCTGGGATCGATCGATCGCTCACTGTGTTCTTGGATCAGATCAAGAGCAGCAGCTCGCGGCGCAGGACAAATGGACCGATCTCGGCCTCAACACGATTCAGTGATCTTTCGATTCTGGAGAGACTTCTCCATTGGCGGGAAAATAGAGTTTTTAGGGTTCTATGGCGTCCAGGAGACGGGCAGCGCCATCGCAGAGCTCCGCTCCACCTCCAAAGCGCCAGGGGAGCTCTCAGGCACCGGCGGCGACGCGAATGCCAGAGCCGCCGCCTCCTCCTCCTGTCGACGAGGAGGACTTCGATGAAGATGTGTTCTTGGAGGAGACGCTTCTCAGGGACGTGGAGCTCCAGGCCACTGGCATAACAGCGAGCTTGGCCAAATGGAAGCGCAACCACGTCGAGGCGTTTGATCCAAAAGAGCATCCCGTTGGTACATAGCACTTGCTCGTTTTTGCGTCTTCTTCGAGCTTACCTTAATCTCGTTGTCAGTGTTTCAGCAACTCGAGATTGACTATGTGATCGGCGAAAGCGATAGAGAGTGGATGCCAGGAAGAACTGGCCCTGCTGCAATTTTGAGGATGTTTGGTGTCACGCAGCAAGGTCTGTCTTTTCTTTTTCAAACTTTTACAAAGGGTTTTGATTGATCATCGGTCATCCAGGAAACAGTGTTTGCTGTCATATACACGGGTTTGAGCCTTACTTTTATATCAGCTGTCCTGACGGATGGAATCCTGATGACACGTCTAAGTTCCGCCATACTCTCGAGGTAAGTATCAATGCAATATCATTGCGGAACTATATGTGTTTTACAGACAAGAATGCGCGAAGCAAACAGGAATAGCAAGACTCCCACTTTTGTTCCAAGAGTAGAGATGGTCCAGAAGCGAAGCTTGATGTACTTCCAAACACAGAAAGCAAGGGCGTTCCTCAAGATTGTTGTTGCACTTCCAACAATGGTTGCTTCCTGTAGAGGTACGACTTTTTAGTAGAGTACTGAAACTAAGTACGCTTTTCCGAGCAGGAATTCTTGAAAAAGGCATCACTTTGGAAGGCTTTGGTCATAAATGCTTCATCACATACGAGAGCAATATTCTCTTTGCTCTTCGATTCATGATTGATTGCAACGTAGGTGGTGGAAACTGGATTGAGCTTCCTGGTGGATCTTATCGTTTGACTCCACGCCGACTTTCAACCTGCCAAATTGAGATCGATATACTGTAAGTTTGTCATTTCAAATGTGAAATATTGTGAAATGTTCAACACTTTTATTTGTGCTTTCTGATCCAGATACAACAAGATTGTCAGTCATAGTGCTACTGGCCAGTACTCCAAGCTTGCACCTTTTCGTATATTGAGCTTTGACATCGAATGTGCTGGGCGGAAAGGACATTTTCCAGAGCCCGAACATGATCCCGTTATTCAGGTGCGTATCTTTTATTTGTTTTTCGATTCAATAAGTGGCGCCATTATGTAGATTGCGAATCTTGTGACAGTTCAAGGGGAAAGTCGTCCTATGGTTCGAAATGTGATGACGCTCAAATCTTGTTCTGCGATAGTTGGAGTGGACGTTATGTCCTTCGATACTGAGAAAGAGGTCCTCTTGGCATGGCGGGTAAGTATTTCTTAATAGTTACAATATAGTATAATGTGATTGTGATTGTGCAGGACCTTATCCGAGAAGTTGACCCTGACATTATTATCGGCTATAACATTTGCAAGTTCGATATGCCTTACCTGATCGAGGTATGTTAAATTCTGCGATTTCTGCTCACGCTTTCATCTTGCCTGGGCAGAGGGCACAAAAGCTTGGAATTGTGGAGTTTCCTGTTCTTGGACGTATTCGCAACAGCCGAGTCCGTGTTAGAGATGCGACATTTTCTTCAAGGTTGTAAATGCGCCTGGTGGTTGTCACTAATATTTTCTCCATTCGTTTAGGCAATATGGTATAAGGGAAAGCAAGGAAGTTTTGATAGAAGGACGCGTACAATTCGATTTGCTACAGGTTTTTTGCATTTATTTTTGTCTGGCACTAATGTGAAGTTTCCCTGCAGGCAATGCAAAGAGATTATAAGCTCAGCTCATACTCCTTAAACTCGGTGTCTGCTCATTTCCTTGGAGAGCAGGTTCAGAGCTTTTATTATTTTAAATAAGTCTCACCTTTGCCTTACAGAAAGAGGACGTCCACCATTCCATCATTGCTGATTTGCAAAATGGTAACTCGGAAACTCGGAGGCGTTTGGCTGTTTACTGCTTAAAAGTGAGCCGCACTTTGGTTCTATGTTTATATTTTCCATGTTTTCTCTGTCAGGATGCGTATCTGCCTCAGAGATTACTCGAAAAGCTGATGTTTATATATAACTATATCGAAATGGCAAGAGTAACAGGAGTTCCCATTTCGTTTCTTCTTTCGAGGGGACAAAGTATCAAGGTACAGTGGATTTTATTGTTATTTTTGCTCATTTATAACAAACACTACCCAGGTGCTTTCACAAATTCTAAGAAAATGCAGACAACGAAACTTTGTCGTGCCAAACATTAAGGGACAAGGGGCTGGGCAGGAAACCTTTGAAGGTGCAACCGTAAGTAGTTCGGGCTTTTGAATCGATTTTTATAAACGCTGCTGCGTTACAGGTTCTAGAAGCAAGGGCTGGATTTTACGAAAAGCCAATTGCCACGCTTGATTTTGCATCACTGTACCCATCAATTATGATGGCTTACAATCTTTGCTATTGCACCTTGGTACTGTACTCCATATTGTGTATTTGATTGTGGAATTACTTGTTTTATTCAGGTTAGAACGGAGGATCAAGCCAGATTGAACATAGCACCAGAAAATGTTAACAAAACGCCGTCTGGTGAAATGTTTGTCAAAACAAATATGGAGAAAGTAATAGCTCTATGTGCTTATATATGATGATTTTGACATTAATTTTCAGGGGATCCTTCCTGAAATCTTAGAGGAACTGCTTGCTGCCAGAAAGCGAGCCAGAGCCGACCTGAAGGTGATTTTAAGAAGAACGTTAAGCTTAACTTATCAAATCATTGCAGGAAGCTACCGATTCACTTGAAAAAGCCGTGTTGGACGGTCGGCAGCTAGCTCTCAAGGTTAGTTTTGAAGTTATCTCCCGGATTATGGTCTCTTAACAATATTGTGCCAGGTTAGTGCGAACTCAGTCTATGGATTCACAGGCGCAACAGTTGGCCAGCTTCCTTGCCTTGAAATTTCATCCAGCGTAACTAGCTATGGTACAATCTCATCCGTTTTGTTTTGTTGGTTTTAATAGAACGAGAGTTGCAGGAAGGCAGATGATTGAACACACCAAAACCCTCGTGGAAGGACGTTTCAACACAAGCAACAAATATGACAACAATGCAGAAGTACATGCTCGGCTTTGTAGAATTCTCAGGATTTGATCTTCTCTTACTGTTTTCAGGTGATCTACGGGGATACGGATTCAGTAATGGTTCAATTTGGTGTCTCTACCGTTGAGGACGCCATGAATCTTGGAAGGGAGGCGGCTGATTATATCAGCGAGACATTTACCAAGGTTTTGCCTTCATTGTATGTTTTCTCCACTGATGTTTTTTTCGGGTATTTGCAGCCTATCAAGTTGGAATTTGAGAAAGTGTACTTCCCCTATTTGCTGATTAGCAAAAAGAGGTATGCAGGCCTACTTTGGACGAAGCCCGCAAAATACGACAAAATGGACACGAAAGGTATTATGACATTGTGCTACAGTATCTACTTAATGTGTGTTTTTCTTGTTGTACATTTTAGGAATTGAAACGGTTCGGCGAGATAATTGTTTACTAGTAAAAAATGTGGTGACTCAAAGCCTCCACAAGATTCTTGTTGATCGAGATGTGCCTGGAGCTGTGGACTTTGTTAAGGGCATGATTTCGGACTTGCTGATGAATCGTATGGATCTATCACTTCTTGTTATCACAAAGGTATCATGTGAATAGTACTTGTATCTGTACCTCACGGCTTGTTTCAGGGCCTCACAAAAACTGGCGATGATTATGCCGTCAAGGCTGCTCATGTTGAGCTTGCTGAGCGTATGCGTAAGGTATGTGCCTCTAAATTAGTACATGAGATCGACCTCTGACTTGTCTCAAACTCAACAGCGTGATGCAGCCACTGCTCCAAATGTAGGCGATCGTGTTCCTTACGTCATAATTAAAGCCGCAAAGGGAGCTAAGGTTGTATGTTTTTGTTCATTGATCTGCTGTCTCTTTAAATTATCTCCTTTCGCAGGCATATGAGCGGTCTGAGGATCCAATCTATGTCTTGGAAAATAACATTCCCATCGATCCTCAGTACTATCTGGAAAATCAGCTGAGTAAGGTACCACAAAAGACTGAGATGTGTTTGTGCGCTAAGATTATGAGTCGCAGCCACTGCTCCGGATATTCGAACCAATTCTCAAGAATGCGAGCAAGGAGCTTCTCCACGGGAGCCACACTCGCTCCGTGTATATCACAACGCCCTCCAACAGTGGCATTATGAAGTTCGCGAAAAAGCAACTAACCTGTCTGGGCTGCAAAGCTATAATCAGGTACAAGCTCCTACTATTTAACTGTAGCTGATTTGTCACTCGTCCTTTTGACGATAGTGGCGGCGACACACCATTGTGTAAACACTGCAGCGGCCGTGAAGCGGAGCTATACCAGAGAACTGTTGCAAATGGTAGGTTCTGATATACCGTCAGCACTAACGCTACTGCTGTCACGCAGTGAGGGATTTGGAGCAGCTATTTGGAAGGCTGTGGACTCAATGCCAGCGGTGCCAAGGATCTTTACATCAAGACGTTTTGTGCACAAGGTTGAGCACTGTAGTAGTGTTTATGCCTCAACTAACAAAGGCATTGTGTCTGCAGTCGCGACTGCCCAATCTTCTATCGACGGAAAAAAGCACAGAAGGATCTGTCGGAAGCCGAACTGCAAGAGCAGCGCTGGGACTTTTAGAACATAGAGGCTTTTCATCTTGGACATCTCTATCATATATAAGGTTTCCAAGTAGAGGGGATTCATGCCTCTGAAGATATACTATAGCAGCAATCAGCAAGCTCATGACTCGGGAATATATAACGAAGCATTTTCCGGTCTTTATTTATATGAAAAAATCGTTCTGCTTTCTTTCACAACACATCTTATTATGTTGAATCCAGGGAACACAACATGAAACTTTTTTACTTCTTGTAAGCTGGTGGAGGTGGCGATACATACTTGTAGTAAGGTGGTGGAGGGGATTCATATTTGTAGTATGGAGGCGGTGGGGATTTGTAGTAATAGTAAGGTGGAGGTGGAGACTCGTACTTGTAGTATGGTGGTGGTGGAGACTCATACTTGTAATAAGGAGGCGGTGGAGATTTATAGTAATATGGAGGCGGTGGTGGCGATTCATACTTGTATGGTGGCGGAGGTGGGGATTCATACTTGTAAGGAGGCGGTGGGGGCGACTCATACTTGTATGGAGGGGGAGGTGGCGATTCATACTTGTATGGTGGCGGAGGTGGGGACTCATACTTGTATGGTGGCGGAGGTGGGGATTCATACTTGTAAGGAGGTGGTGGGGGTGACTCATACTTGTATGGAGGTGGAGGTGGCGATTTGTACTTGTATGGTGGCGGCGGTGGAGATTCATACTTGTAAGGAGGCGGTGGGGGCGACTCATACTTGTATGGAGGTGGAGGCGGGGACTCGTACTTGTATGGAGGTGGAGGTGGTGATTCGTACTTGTATGGTGGTGGTGGCGGTGACTCATACTTGTATGGTGGCGGCGGTGGCGACTCATACTTGTATGGTGGCGGTGGTGGGGATTCATACTTGTATGGTGGCGGTGGCGGTGATTCATACTTGTAAGGAGGCGATTCATACTTGTAGTATGGTGGTGGCGGGGATTTGTAGTAGTAATGTGGTGGTGGTGGGGATTTATAGTAGTAGTGTGGCGGTGGCGGAGATTCATACTTGTAAGGAGGCGATTCATACTTGTAGTATGGTGGTGGTGGGGATTTGTAGTAGTAATGTGGT